TCCTGGGGGGCTGTGGCCCCATGGTAGGAGAGGGCACAGTACAGGCAGACAAAGAGCAGTCCAGCAGGGAAGGCCACACCAGCTCCAATGTAGTGCAGAGACTTAGCGTGATCCACCTGGGCTCAGACAAGGGCCGATCTGTGGAGCCCCACCCCTCCACCCTCTTCCCCTTCATTACTCTTCCTCCTTTTTCCTCCCCGACTTTCCCTTCCAGGCCTTCTTTCCCTTAACCCCAACCTTGAGGTGCTGCCCCTAAAGCTTGGGTCCACCCTCAGGGGGGCCCCTGCAGACAGTCCAGACCAGTCAGGGGAAGTTCCAGAGGGGCACAAGTGGGCGCACCTGGAAGTTGCCAACCACCACAAGCCCTGCGGCATTGGTGCATCCTGTGATGAGTGTCGTGGTGTTGACCCAGGAATGGCGACTCTGCTCCAGGAGCTGCCCGTAGAGCAGGAGGCAGATCAGGACCACTGGGGGAGGAGAGCATGGGTGGGGCCAGCACTGGTGCCTTCCTGTGGCCCCAAACCAGAGCCCACCAGCTTACCCCCAGACACTCTGAGGACCAGAGGGAATACATGGGAAGGTGGAGAACCTGGGTGTCCTCAGGTTCCAGGCAGTAGGGGGCTGTGTGGGAGTTGGCATTTGGCTTTCAAAGAACAGGACAGAAGTGGCCCCAGTGCCTTGGTGGAGTGGGCTGTGCTGCGTGAGGGCTTCCTGGGCCTTTCTGGGGAGGGGGAAGGCGGGGCTGGCTAGGGGGGCTGAGGGCACAACTCACCCATGAAAGCACCCATGTTGCCAATGAGGCTGAAGAGGCAGCTCTCTGGGGGGTATGTGCCACACTTGCTGAGAGGAGGGGGGCAAGCACAGAGTGAGAGGGGCAGGAGCACCAGAGGGCCCTTGTCCTGGCCCACTTGCTCTCTCTTGCTTTATCTGTGCCTATTCCCAAGCAGGCATGCCACTGATGTAGGAGAAGGGCCATTGTCCCTCATAAACAACTGGCCCTAGGCTGGGCCCTCCATTAAAGCAGGGTTCATGTGTGATGGGTAAGGCAGTGCCCAGGGCTGCTTGGCAGACCTCAGGATTCCTTGGACTCCCTGCAACTGTCAAGGCCTGCAGCTGATCTGGCTTTCCTTGAGCCTAAACTTGGGCTGGGCAATCAGAGGGCTTGAGCTTAAATCCAGGTGCTTCTACTTACTAGCTGTGTGACCTAGATGGCTGACATAATCCAGTCTGTTTCCTTGCCTATAAAATGGTAAAAACAATAGCTGCCTCAATGTTGGGAGGATTAAATGATGTACATGTAAAGCGTTCAGCACAGTGTCTGGCACATGGTCATTGGCAAGTAGTGTTATTAAGTGCTTTTAATATTCCTGAGACCCAGGAACAGGCCTTTGCTTGAGGTGCTTGGCTGGGAGTCAAGCAGGCTCTGGGTCTCCCTGACCTGTCCAGTTTCCAGGCCTTACCTGATGAGGGGGACATCGTCCAGGGTGCAGCAGGTCTTGGGGCCCCCCTGCTCAGCAGGGTCAGGATAGCAGGACTCGTTGTAGGACCTGGCAGGCAGGATAGAGAGTAGACTGAAGGAAAGAGGTTTCCTCAGTCCTCATCCTGTAGTCTCAGGCTTCAGAAACCATCCTCCCAGACCTCCCTTGGCAGAGGTAGAAGCACCCGCTTCTTAGTGCCTGCCCAAGACAGAAGAACCAGGGGGCAAGGGGATGGTGGGAAGCAAGTAGATGGGGGAGGGGCAGGTGCTGCCAATGTCAGATAAGAGCAGTGAGGCCCAGGGTCTCAGTCTGGCTTGAGGCAGCCCTGACCCAAGAGGGAACAGATGAAGGGAGCTTTAGAATGAGGGTGTCTGCAGAGCACGCCATACCAGTTCTCCACGGGGCATGCGTGGTGGTTCTTCACGGCCATGGCATACCTGTGGGAGCAGAACTGTTACCCTGCCCTCATGACCCTCCCCGCCCAGCCTTCCCTCACTGACTCTTCTCTTCCTTGATTCTGGCCCCATTGAGCCTTGTTGTCCTTGCTGGGACTCAATGTTAGGGTGGCTGTGAGGCTTGACACCACACCAGGACCCACAGCATGGCTCCAAACCAGAGGAAGTTGCCCTGGCTAAGAGTATGTCTGTCAGGATCACTCCACTGGACAGCAGTGGTGCTATCTAGTTCAAGGGGCTGTGTGCCCAGGCACCAGGCCTTACTTTGGAGATAGCCAGAGTGACCCTGGGTACCACCCTGGAGCCTGCAACAGGACAAGGGACGTTGTGTGTATCTAAAGCCCCCATTAGGTCCTGGTCTCCTCAGCTCGAACCCATTTGGTCTCCTAGTTGTTTCCTCCCCCTACTCCCAACACCTTGGCCCCCCATCCCTTGCCCCTCTGTACTCACACAGTCCACAGTCCGGTGATGGAGAAGGCTGACAGGCTGACAGGAAGGAGGATCCAGGCGGTCATGAGGGAGAGAAGCCAGGGTGGTGGTGGTGTGGGGGGGAGGACAAAGGGTAGGTGGGGAAGAGGGGGTGGGCCCAGCTACCTTAAGATACTTCGCCAAAACCATCAGCTGCCCGGGCCTGGTGGAGAGAGAGAGGTCAGAGTCCAGGGTCCAGTGACTGGCCCAAGCCGGTGGGGGTAGAAAGTGCTGGTCAACATCTGATTCAGAGCTATCGCTGGGTCTCTGAGCGCCTGCACTTCGGGCTGAGCCCACGCGAGAGCGTGGACACCCTCAGGCATCCATCGCGTCCCACCCAAATGCCCCTGGCGCGCTCAGAGACTCAGGCGGGCCGTAACATCTGGAAAGGCAGTCACCTCCCTCGCCTGAGGGATCCGGGCCGGAGGGAGGCTGGAGTTAGGTCAGGGCGCCACACCACGTAAAGCCTGAAAGGGGTCCGGGGCCCCGGTGGAGGGGCGGCCGCGCGCAGGCGACCTCCTGCCTACCGGCGCCCTGGGAAGAAATGGGTGCCGCGGGAAGCCCAGCCCGTGCCCATCGGTGTCGGCGCATGGAGCCCACGGCCGGCGAGCCTCCCCAGGTGACCCTTAGAGGTGGTGGGGAAAGGAAGGGTCCCACTACGCACCTCCCCGGAGCGCCCCGCCGCAGCCGTACCCTGCTCCGCCCCGCGTGGTGCGGTCTCTGGCTGCGGCCGTCGGAGCAGCCCTGAAAGGTTTAAAGGGCCGAGCGGCCCCGCCCCCGGCGCCCCAGGCTGCGCCGCGCCGCCCGCCGGGACCTGGAGTCCTCAATGCCCGGGCCCGGGCGTCCGCACCCTGCCCAAGACTACAACTCCCGGGCCCCCGCGCCCGCCTCACGCTAGAGACGTGGGCGGTGCCGCAACGTGTGGGCACCTGGGCGCCGAAGAATGTGGCGCCGGGACCCGACCCGAGTAGAGTTTCTGACCCCGAGACGCCAAAAGGGTTCGTCTCGTTTGTCCTGTTCCTGCCATGGAAGCTTCGGGAGGCGGGAAGCTCCGGGGGCCTTACAGCTGTCATTGTAATCGTGCGCATGGCCGGAGGAAGCCTCCTTCAGCCGCTGGGCACATTTTGCAGCCTGGACCTGCCGGAGTAAGACTTCGGGAAACCTCCCTCAGCGTGGTGTAGGTGCCTGCTTTCTCTTCAAGGCAAGGCGGGGCCACAGAGAAGTGGGCACAAAGCCTTGGCTGTTCCTTAAAAAACCAAGTGCGCTGGATTTGGCTTATGCTCCTCTGTGCTCAGCAAACTCTGGAGGAGGGCCCCTTTCATCAGATACATTTCATTTTCAAGGGTACAAGTACACAATACTGTCCAGAAGTTAGTGTCCAAAATCTATTTCCTGACTGCTGAACACTTGAAACAAGGCCATGAAGACCAATCGATATCCATTCTAAGTAGACAAACATGGCCAGGTATTGGTAAAGCAAGAGAGCAGAGGAAGGCAGGAGACCTAGAGAAAATTGGGAAAAGGAAACAGGACTGAATCACCCACCAGCTTCAACAAAACTTACTGGCAAGAGTGCCCTCCTGGGCATTCTTTTCATAAGTAAATGGGCAGGAATGCTTCCTTTCCCATTCCAGAAGTGTGGCTGGCACTCTGAAAGGCAGTCCAGCATCTGATGGGGGCCCTTGTGAGACACGGGCTGACAGATCTCTATCTGAAGGCAGCATGGACTTCAGCTGCTAGGAGATGAGCTTAAATTTGGCAGTGCTGGTGAGGCAAAGGTAATGTGCAGAAACAGAGCCCTGTACTGCAGGGGAAATGGAGCACACAAATAAGACATAGCTTGAATAAGAAAAAATTCCCTTTGGACCCAATGGAAGCTAAAAAGGGAAACATGAAACCTGTTGGAGAGCTCTTTTCCAAAGTTCATCAGGACAAGCAGCTAAAGCAGGGCTAAGAAGTATGGTTGTGTGGAGCAATCACTGCACAAGAATACCCAGCTGACCAGGGGTATAAAATCCTGCCCACCTCCTGCTAGCCATGCTCTGTGCCCCAGGACGGAGGAGTACCTCTAAAACACAAACAGCATCTTGCCCATATGTTTCACATTGGAGCAGGCACTTTTTCTCATCTGTCCAAAGGTGCTGTGAACCTTCCGCTTTCCCACCTCATGGGAAGCTCTGCAGTTCTTAACACTTACTATATCCAGTTGAACTGGGCATGTGTTCCCATCTGACCATTATCATAGGCAAGGCCTCAGAGGACTACTCAGGTTCTAAACTGTCTGTTCTAACATAAAATGGGGGTAAGACAAGCATCCAGAACTGTGACAAAAAGGTAGATTCTGGCTTAAGATGACAACCTGAGTAGTCCCTAAAATAGAATTACCCTAGAAGGGCTTTCATGGGTAGTTGGTAGGGAGGAGTCCTAATGCTATGTGAGTCTAGTTATGCTCAAACCAGGACAGTTCTGAAAACAGTCAAGTAAAGCAAGAGATGAGATTTCAAATGCTGATTCTGTGTGCCGAATAACTTTAGGGCAGGCATTTAATTTTCACTTCCCTTATGTATACAAGTGATTTCAAAACTCTTGGCAAGAACAGTGCTGTAAAAATAAAGTTTATTGGTTAAAAGAATACTGGATTTGAAAAGTACTTTCCAGGATTTTCAATAATTTGTACACTTCATTTTATTTATCCACAGCAGAAACACTGGTAACAAGAAAACAAGAATGGATGACTTTTGTGCACTGAACACCACAACATCACCAGTGCAGTCAGTCTCTGATTCTGAGAAGGCAGAGGAGCCATTCCCTCAGAAGGCTTTCATTTCTAGCATCACTCCAACTATTGGGGAAACTTAGGGTAGGTGCCTACTGCTTCTTGGTTATCTGATTTCTCAGGGACAGGACAGGAGTTCAACAGGGAGTTTAAAATAATTCAAATAATTGTCAACATTTAGTAGTGATTCTCCCAAAACAAGGCTCAGAGGTAGGAAAGTAATGTCTTTATTCCTCTTTCTATTTGCAAAGGCCTCATTTACATTTATGAGCCAACTGGGACTTGACTACCCTACCATCCATGGGTTCTGCCATATGCACAACAGGGTTTCTTCCAGCCCCATGGTCTAATTGCTACTTGGCAGATCTCCTCAGAGATCTATGGAGACTATGGAGGGGGACTATGGAGGGACTATGGAGATAGAATGTCCCTTTCAAAGGCTCATCCACAAGGAGAAGCATTTATTGCCCACATTGGTCTTACTGGCTGGCTGGCCATCCTCCACATGCTCCTACTCTCACTCAGTACAAAAAGTTTTACATTTGTCTTTTCCCTTCTTGCACTGCATTCAAAAACTTCTATGCTTGCCAACTGGCTGAACTCAAGCTTTAGTGTTTACTCTTGTACAGCCCAAAGCCCCTGTAAACCCCGTTTTCCTTCCATTTAAAATACTACCATCATGGCCCAGGAAACACAAAGCTTTAATATCCAAGGCTGACCCCTCAGTAAGTAAAGAACATTTCATTTTGGATGGGTTTGAGATGTGCTCATCAGGCTACCAGACATTTTTTTTTTTAAGACAGTCAAGAACATATCTAGTCAAATGAGTTGATTCTGAAGCAGCCTGCTAGAAAGCTCTAACTGATCCAGCGCTGTTGGTACTGCACCTAACAGCACGGGACAATCCTCTTTGGGACAACTAGAGTCTGTGGGAAATGCTCTGGAACACATTCCTTGATGGAAAAGCACTGATTTTTGAGAACAGTTGAAATATCTGTGGAGGCAAGTCTCATGAATAAACTGGATAGAACCACCTTGGAGCCCAGATGAGGAGTGGCAACAAGCAGTGGGCCTGAACTATAAGGCTGTCAGATGGCTAAGGGCCATCACCAGAGAAGCATTTCACGCACATCTGCAGCAATGGCACCAGCACAACAGCTTCCTATAAAGGACAACATTTATTTTAAGTACCAGGCTTAGTGCTTTATATAGTCATACAGCTTAAGTTAGCAAAGAATTAGAATGTTTTCTGGGTGCAAAAGTTTTTATATGCGCTTGATAAACAAAGTGCCTCAGGAAAAAAAGTTTATGAGCAAGGAGCTCCTATCAGTCTCTTACCTGAGAGTGTGAAGATTACATGACAAACGCATAAAAGAACACATTAGGCACATACTTCTCACAAACAGAAATGGTGGTTACAATTTCAGGTGTCATGTCCCCAACCTCCTCTTCTGGTCTTAATAAATTCTGTAATAAATCCATGAAACAGGACATCCAGGTGTAAGCAGACAGACCCCAAAAGTATATCCAGACTAGGAAGAAGCCTAAGAGTTCCAGTGAAATCCTATGTCCAAGTCAGAAGATCAGCTGAAGAGCTGGAAGACAACAATGATAGGTCCTCTGAGCTGCAGGAAGACTGGGGATAGACTATGGCACAGTCTCCTTCATCCAGGAGGCTCTGGAGGATAGTTCACATTACAAATGAAAAGGCACTTCTGGCCCGCTAAGTAGAGGTTAAACTTTCTCCTCTGAAGGCACAACTGGGCATTTAACCTTGGGCCAGCTTTGTGGATCAGGAGCACTCTGGTCCTGGCTCTCTTCACAACCAGGCCCTTCTTATCCACCTCACTCACCTTCCCAGCATTCCTCTGGAGATGCAAGCTGTGGCTTGCTGCATTTTAATGATATAGTTTAAGTAGCTGCCTTGCCTCATTTCTGAGGCAGTAGATTTTGAGAGGGGTAGGGCAAAAGCCAACAGTGCCCCCAGGTGTCCTTTAAGAGAGAAACTGCTGAGATGGGAATAACCAGACTGATCTTGAGATCCTGATGTGGAGAAAACCCAAGGGCAGGGGAACTTTGGTTTTGATAAGTCTGTGTTCATGGGCTTCACTTAACACCTGTACTTCAAGTCACTGAGGTTAGGCTGATTTGCTGGAAAGCTGAAGTGGCTTGGAACTTCAGTGCACAAGATGTTTTATGGACTTTTCAGACCTCAGCCTAACCCTGTGTTAGGAAAAATATTTAGGTGAAAGGGGTGATATTTCTGGGATCTTTATTTTAATACTTTCAGTTTATATACTCCTGGGAAGTAGCAAAAGAGAAAGGATGGGGTGGGGGAAGAGCAAAGGGGAGGCTCATTTTACTGCCCATTGTTCAGGACCTCATCCCCTTTTTTATAACTGGGCTCTGAGTAGGTGATTATTGCTATTATTGAAATTCCCTCTGTACATACATCTAAGACTGTCAGATCAAATTTGGAGAGTCAGTTTTAAGTTTGTTTGCTCTGCTCTTTAGCCTGAGCAGAGGATGTTCACAAGTAGGGAGGTCAAAGGCTAGAATTCTATAGCCCTAAGGCAGGTTTTGCTGGAAGAAATCCTTGGGAGTTTAGTTCTGGCATTATCTTCCTATGTCTCCTTATCAAGACAATGCAGAGCAGCAGGGCATGAGAGAAACTTTAAAAGCCTTGGAAGTGGAGGGAGACACTTGCAAGTTGGCCTCAAAAATGATCTTCCACTTATTGGAATCAGAATTACCAGAAGAGGTTGTCAGAATGACAGACCCCAGAATCTCCCACCTCCCACTCCTGACCTGCTAGAGGTGCACAGTCACGTTGGGAGATTGGGGGTGGGGTACAACTGATGGATTCTGAGATAAAATGATGAGAAGGAAAGAACAAAGCAACAGAGCTGAAAAGAAGCTATAGGAGAACATGAATGGAAATGAGCAGAAAAAGCTGGAAGGAACCATAAAATAACAAACATGGCCCATTGAACTGAATGGAGCAGCAGCCCCTGTGGCCTGTGACCTCAGTGAGAAAGCAACATGTTGGCACAAGGTTTCATAACCTCAGCACTCCCTGGAATCTCTCCTTCCAGAACACCAAGTTTGCCAAACAAAACTCTCAAAACATTTCAGAATATTAGGCTGGCTGCAAGGGAGGTGGTCAGGTATAGTCCCTGCAACACCCTTTCCTGTGGATGCGGCAGTAGCTCTGTTGCAGTTGTGTATCTCAGGATCAGCCCAGCCTGGTCTTGGTACCCCTAAACTAGGGGTAAGCTTCCTGGGCAGTGACTCCAGCCTGGAGAGAATGCCTTCAGCCCAGTCAGTGTTGGCTTTGGCGCTTTGCAATCTCCTCCTGGATGCGCAACTTGAGGGCCTCTCGCATGGGTGGATCCAGAGGCGTGTGTGCTGACACCTCCTCACTCACCCTTCCTGGATCATCCTCCTGCGTGGAAGAAGAGTCAGGAAGCTCAGGGCCTGGCCTCTTCTGGAAAGATGACCTGCCCCATCCCTAGACAACAGTCTCACAGAACTCCATTTGACTCATGGCTTCTTACCAGTGCCTATCATTTCCCAGGCATGCCCTGTAATAGGATTCTCAACTGAGGGCCATGAGCCCTCCCTGCTGCCCACTGAGAATCACTGCATGACAGGAATGATCTATGCTCAAGCATCACCAGCTATGCCCCCAGGTGGAGCAGGCACTCCCACTGGCCCTGAGGAAACAGTGGCTCAGGGTTGGGCAGTGATTTCTACCACATCCCAGGACCTTAGGCTGCAGCTGTTCCACCAGGCATACCTGATACACGATAACGGAGGTGACCTCTCCGCTGTCTGCCTCATATTCTAAGCAGAAGAGCTGATGGCCAGAAGGCTCCTGCTCAGAGCTGCCACTACTGCTTTCACTGGACCCCTCACAGTCTGGGTTGCTTGGGTGCATGGAGCCATCTGGAAAGATGAACCAGAGTGAGAGGGAAGAGGGGAAGGCTGCTGAAGCCTCTGCCCGCAGAGATGACACAGGAAAACAGGCTGTCAAGAAAGCCCTGTTCTTTTATGTACTGTTTGTATTTGAAGTGTGCTGCCAGTTTTATTTACCTTTGAAGCCATGTTCTGGGGCCAGCGTGGTCCTACCATATAGTGGGGTACACAATGCACATTTTTCCAGTGAATAAGATTGGAATGCAGTGGAGAAGTGAATAGAGCCCTGTCTGTATTAAAATCCAGGCTCTGCCATTTTACTAGCTCTGAGATCTTAGGCAAGTTACTTAACCTCTCTGTACCGGTTTCCTGATTGCGAAACAGAAATCATAGTTCCCATCACATAGGGGTCAATGAAAGCGAAATGAATTAATGTACATAAAATCTAAAGCACTTTACATATCACGCTAATTTGTTAAGCGTTATTTACACTATTGTGATCTCTAGGTCTCTGGGAAGCCGGGGAAAAAGGCCATTTACTAGGTTTGGGATTCATTCCAAAATTATGTCCTGGTCGCCTATAGTTATGTCAGGTTTTTTCTCTATTCCATTGTGAGGACACTAAAATATGGTGCGGTGGGCAAGATGGCAGATAAGTTTTTGCTGGCTCCCAGGTATCTTCTGTAATAATATCTGTAAACAGATAACTGCTTATCTGGGGGCCCGGAGCCATCCCTGTTCTCCGGGGAGCGTCGAGGTGGAGGTTCCTGGAAGGGATGAGATGAACTGAGCCTTGGGGGATAAGAAGTGGTTTTCCCCATAAAGATAAAGGAGTGCCCGGGGCGGAAGGGCGCGAAGGATTGAGGAGGCCGGCGGGGCGGGCGGCCTCACCTCGGTGTCGCGGTAGGTACACCTGCAGGTCGGGCTTGCGGGGCCGCGTGGGCGCGGGCGTGTGCCGCCTCTTCGCCTTCTCCTTGGCTGCCTGCTTCACCTTCTTGTCGTAGTCGTCCCTGCGGGGAGCCGAGCGGGGGTCAGGGACGGCCAGGCCAGGCCAAGCTGGGGGTGGCGGCGGCGGTGCGGGGCGGGACGGTACCGGGCCAGCTGGTTCCGTCGAATATGGTGCACGAAGCCGTGGCTCATGTCTAGCCGCCCGCCAGGCTTGCAGCAGAACCCCGGCCCGGGATCCGGTGCGGGTTCCATCAGGAGCCCAAAGCGGAGAGGTACCGCGCCGCCTCAACTGCCCCACCGGCCACCAACCTGGGGAGCTCCGCGCCGCCCCCCACTCCACTTCCGGCCCTGAGCCCTGACGTCGCGTCCGGAACGGGCCTGCCTGGCAGGGCGCTGCGTCGCGTAGAAGGGCGGGCGCTGGTCGGCTTTGGGGTGTGCCCGGGGCTTTTCTTTGTGCCATCCTAATAGGAAATTTAGGTTTACTACTCATACATCAGACAATTCAGAAAAGACCCGGTACACTACTCAACGTTTGGTGTGAAGCCTTTCCGTTCTTTTTCTGGTGTTAGAATGCTGTGAAACTCCAGCTGCGTGACCTCGGGCGGACTATTGAACCCTGCCGTACCTCAGTCTCCTGAGTTGTAAGTGGGGACACTGAAAGCACCTACTTCAAAAGAAACAGTGAAGAGGCTATAATCAGGCAGGGCACACCGCGGCAACCAGGCCGCACAGCCCCGCGAAGGCTTTCCTCGCCCTTCCCCAGTCCGCCCCGGGGCCCCAAGCCGCCGGTAGCGCGGACGCTTCTGCGAACAAGGCCAGTGTTCGAGCTGTGCTGCCCAAGTCCCTGCACGCAGCCCGCCTCGGCACCCATCAGACAGATATCTGAACTGTCCCTGCGAGAGGACCCTGTGCTCTTTAGGGATCTGAGCGTCTGCTATTTTCGAGTCCTTTTTAGAAAAAGGTAAAATTAGGAATTCCTGACGAGAACAGGGACAAACTGTGGTATATCCATACAATGTATTACCGCTGAGCAATTAAAAGGAACGAGCTGTTGATACACTCAACAATGTGGGTGAATCACAAAATAAACGCGCTAAGTCAAAAAGGCCAGGCAAAAAAAAAAGAGGACAGGCTGTATGCTTATATTGATATAAAACTCTAGAAATACGAACTCCTCTGTTGTGACAGAAAGCAGATCAATAGTCGAGGCAGGAGTACCCTTTGGGGGCTGGTGGATAGGTTCATTATATTGATCGTGGTAATGGTTTCTGAGTGTATAATCTATCCATCAGTATTTATCAAACTGCACACTTTAAACATTCAGTTGATTGCATGTTTAGAATCAACTCCACCTCCAATTGCACCTCCATAGAACCCGTTCAGGGCGGTGGATGGGGTAGTAAAAATCACAGGTCCTGAAGTTTGAGCTTTATTAGTGTCATGGTTAAGTTCCTCTCTTCCGACGTTTGCATTTTCTTGTGATACTGAGAACAGTCCTCTAAATGTGGCGTTAGAACCGCCAGCTTGCTGCATGAAATGGTTAATTTGGGGATATCTTTAGTTCTGTGCAGGAGCGTCAGTCTCCTAGGCTCACACTTTGGAGACAACCTCGTAATCATGGTTTCGGGGCAGAAAGTATCTTGAAAAAATCGGGCCCAGTGAGAACTTTAATCCAGAAATTCCCTAGCCAATAAAAGGTTTTGGTTTCCTGGCGTTAGTCCTTTGTTTCGTTCACAATACGCAGCTGCAAACAAGCCACAAGAGGCGCAGTACTCCCACAGGGCTTCTGCGGAGTGATTTGTCCCCATCGGCGACTCGTAGAGAGCCCGGGCACGGTAACAGCGCCGGTCTTGATTGGCTGCCTGCCGCGCGTCCGAGGAGGCCTGGAACTTGCGCGCGGCGACTCGGCCGGTAGTGGCGATGTCCGGCCGATCCAAGCGGGAGTCTCGAGGTTCCACCCGTGGGAAGCGCGAGTCCGAGTCACGGGGCAGCTCGGGTCGCGTCAAGCGGGAGCGAGATCGGGAGCGGGAGACCGAGGCGCCGAGCTCGCGGGGCAGCCCAGTGCGTGTGAAGCGGGAGGTGCAGTCGGCGAGCGCTCGGGAGGCCCTGGCGCCCATCGTCCCCTCGGTGCGGGTGAAGCGGGAGCGTGAGGCGGACGAGGAATCCGAACCTGAGCGGGAGGTGCGAGGTGCGCGGGGCTGGGCTGGGCCGGGCCGGGCCAGGCGCGGCGCGGGCTGCACTCTTGGGTTCTTTTTCTCTTTGCAACCTCCCATCCTTGGGGGTGGGAATTCACACTCCACCAGTTTTCGCGGCCCAGCTCGACTGCGTTCCAAAGACAGTACTAGTCTTAATAAAAACCGTAGTTGTGACGTTTTAAACAACAGCAATAACAGCAGCTTCTCTTTTACGAATGCCTAAGCGCAGGCTCAGTGCTGTTGTAAATAATCAGAAAATAATTTACAAAAATTATGCTACCTCTTTCAGTTTTTACAAAACACCCGAGACGCGGGTCTTATAATTTCTGGAATGTGAGTCCACAGCACCACCTGCACCATAATGCCCTACCATTCGAGGCCTGCTACTGAAACTCACTGTCGTTTGGAAGGTGGATTTTACGTGTCTGTCCCTTTGTAAATAAGTGGAGGTTGTCCTGGTACCCACCACCTTTGGGAGCCCGTCTAACAACTGCCAGTGAGTCTCTCCCCTTCATGGCTGCACCCTTTGCTTCCTTCCTCTGGTTTCTCTGCTTTTCGTTGCACTCCTTGTGATTTATAGAGACCGCTTCACCCAGCCTTGGTTCCCTGTCTTTTTTCCAATTTGTCCATTTTACTCTACCTTAAGTAGGTTTTCACCACATGTGAAGCTTTTTGCCTCTTCACTCCAATTACATTTCCTTCTCTGAATTTCAAACTCCTGGCTTGAACATGTTCCTTACATACTTGCCTTCTGGTGAGTAGGAGCCTATTGAAGTAGCAAGTGAATATATCACCAGGTTACATGCTAGGGGTGGGATTCTTGGGAGGGGGTCCTCATTGTCCAAGACTTTATATTTCTATCTGCTGGAACTGGTTATCTGTATGTGATTATACTCTTACATTAACTCAAACTTCTTGCTCAGGGTCCTCCATTTGACATATTTTTATATTACGCACAGGGTCCAGAATAGCACCTTGCTCATAGAAAGTGCTTTGCTTGATGAATGTTCTTTGAATAATTAGTAATTTCAGAGTATTCTTTGATTTTCTTAAATATTTTGTCAGCTTCAGGTTTCCCTGTCTTTGGAAGAGAAACTGTTAGATATTTTGCACAGTTGTGGGGAGGAGATTGTTTTCTCTGGGGGCACACTAGGACCTCAGTTGCTGTTACTGGCTTGTCTTTTTTTTTTTTATCATGAAATAGATCACAGGTGCTAAGATGGACTGAATGTAATACACAAGTCCAGTTTAAAGAAGAGTGCAGATGTGCATCCTTAAATCTACCAAGAACTGTGAAGGGTCTGAGATCTGTTTGCAAGTTACCAAGTTATACTGCCCAGTTTCATGGATGCTGATGGACGACAGGGGATCAATTCTTGTGGTGTCATTTCCCACAGTGTAGCACCAAGAGAACCCATATACACAGTGGGAATTCATTCCAAGAGGGCAACTCTGAGCATAGAGAACCCAAATCTTTTATAATGGTCTGTGAGCTTGCCTTCCCCTTTCCTCTGTAGGGAGACACTGTCTCTGTCTTCTAAGGCTGTTTTCTATACAAACATCCTTGACGAGATAGTCTTGAGACAGTCAGTCAGTGGCTCTGGTCACAATATGAGCAGAAATGTGAGAGGCCTATAGATAATTGTCTCCAAACAGTGATACGAAGCTCCCAAAAGCCCCTTCCAAGTTGTATCCTTGCTTAGGTGATAACTATTCTGAATTTTTTCCTAATTTCTATTTTATTTATAGTTTTACCTCATGTGTATCCTTACATAGTACTGTTTTATTTGGTGTTTGATATAAATGGATAATACTTTACTTAACCTTCCAGTTTACCTTTTTTTTTTTTTTTTTGCTAGTTCTATTTTTGACATCCAGATAAATGTTCATGGCTACATAGTGTTCTATTGATGACATAAATATTTCTCCATTTTATCTGTGGTGGACATTTGTGTTATTCCCAGTTTGGGTGCTTTCAAATATTGCTGCTGTAAATATTTTTTAGTAATGCACTCCTGGTGCATGTGTGCAAAAATTTCTCTAGGATATGTAAGTGGAATACAGATGGCTGGGTCAAACGGTCTGCATGTTTTTCAGTTTTGATCTTGATCTACTATTCTCCAAGTGGTTGTAACAGTTTACACTCCCACCAGCAGTATATGAGCACTCATTCTTGCTTCATGTATTATCAACACTTGGTATTTTCTGATTTTATTTTTTCTGCTCTGGTAGGTATGAAGTGATATATATCATTGTGCAAGGAAATTTGCATTTTCTTGACTTACTGATGAGGGCTGTATTCCTCATTTTCTATTAGGTTGTTTGTCTTTTTCTTACTGCTTCACCAAATTTCTTTATGTAATCTACACATGAATCCTTTGATGGTTATATGTGTTTCAGATATATTCCCTGTATCTGTTTACAGCTTGTTTACATAGTGGACTTTTTGGGTGTTGCCAGGCCACTGGTACAGTTCATCCTGATGAGTTTTTCCCATTTCCGTGTTTCTTTGTTTGTACTATTAATTGACCCTGAGTTTGGGTTCCTATTTTTATAGCCTGTGATTATTTTCCTTTCAGCAAAGAATGGCCGTGTGGATTCTGAGGACCGGAGGAGCCGCCACTGCCCATACCTGGATACCATTAATAGGTCAGCAGGACAGGGATGCTGAGGGCAGCAAAAAGCAACAGAATCTATGCAGAATCTTCCTTGAACTGCACATTGAATAACATCTTCACAAATTTTATCCCTTTTAAAGCTTTCTGCCCAGATAATTGTGCTCCTTACCATGTTTATTAATCTTTGCCTTTCAATTTAAAGTATCAAGTCATTTCTTTTAGGGTGGGCACACATATAAAGAGCTTTTAGTTCAGTTTGAATTTGTCTGATGGAATAATGGGGTATGTAGTGACCTTAAAATGACAATAGCAAATTTAAACATTTATTGAGCATTCACTATGTGCTAGTGCTATTCTAGATGTGTGGAATTCAACAGAAAAACTGAAAAAATATGTCTTAGAGCAGAGATAGTTTCCTCCTCATGATACTCTTTCTTCTGGCATCCTAGCATGCTTTTCAACTTATGTTCTAGGGTAGCAGTGTCCAGTAGAACTTTTTGCATAATGGAATTGCTCTTCATAAGGACTGATAAGCCACTGTGCCTAGTGAGCACTTGAAATATGGCTTGAGGAACTGAGTTTTAAACTTTAAGTTTAGATGCCAGTAGCCATCAGTGGCTTGTGGCCCCTTTAATGGATAGTGCAGCTTTCCTGGGGCCATTATTAATTAATTATAAATGCTTGAGAAAAAAATCCCTCTGTTACTTGTGAATTAAGTGGAAGTAAAGTTCTATCTCTTAACCTACCCAATTATAACATTATTTTGCACTTGAATAAATAGATCTGTTTGTATATATTCCCCTAATATTCTTCAGGCTTCCCATTTATTTTTGTGAACAAAAATATAATTTTCATTTATGAAAGGTTTTATTCACTCTTTCCATGTTCTTCCACTCCTGGTCGTTTAAGTTGGAGTGCTGTTGAGGCCCTGTTACTTTAGTCCTACTTAAAGCTTCCCTTCAGAAGAAGTTACTGTAGTGGAATATTCTCAACTGGCTATAAATAATAAAAACAAAGAGTGTCACTGGCATTGTGTGTCTGGTGGAGACCTTGACACTACTTGGGGCTTGGTGGATGGAGGTGCTCTATTAAATGTCCAGGTGAGGAATAGTTAGTGTTCCCCGTGGTTTATATACGTGGTGGTTGAACCATTCTCTGAAGGATGCTGTGTGACGCTGTGGAACACAGAGCCAGTGCTGCTTCACTTGGGTGCTCTCCTAGACCCCCACCTCTACTCACTGTTTTTTCCTTTTGTTTGGTTCTCACAGGAGTGTGCTGGACTTTGACTTTGAGAAACTGTGTTCCATCTCCCTCTCGCACATCAATGCCTATGCCTGTCTGGTGTGTGGCAAGTACTTTCAGGGTAAATAAACATTATGTATTATAAACTTACTAAGTTTTCAGCACTAGCCATGGGTCTACTCCAGAGGTCCAGAGAGATTTTTTTTTAAGTAAGTAAGCTGCTGTCAACAGTCATGTCTAATAATTCCTATCTTTGTTTCCAGGAGATTGGGATACTCTTAGGAAATCAACAGAGATTGTCTGATCAGAACTGAATACATATGACAGGGAGGGAGCTATTCATGTTAAAGATTGTGTAAGAAATCTCAAAAATTGTGAGTTGTTGAATCTGATGTTTTCTATACTTATGTCTTCTTCTGAGAGTCCTTGTGCAGTAAGGACTTTTTCATATGGAAACTTACTAATTCAGTTCATTCAGACCAAGTAAATGCTATGTACATAGTATAGTGGAGGATTCAAAAGAAATATAAACTACATTCTTTGCTCTTACAAGGAGCTTATAAATAAATAGTCAAGATTAACACACCAAACAATCAATAAATGCTATAAAACCATAAAGATTACTGCTAGACACTGTGGCACAGGTGGGACTTGAACTGCAGGATATAATAGTGTTTGAGTGGGCTAAGGGAGAGGGATTCTAGAAAGGAGTGACAACATGAACAAAGGTTCATAGGTGCAGGATTGTCCTGAATATGAACACCTGGAAATTCAGGACTGAGTGATAAGGGCCTGTCATAGGATATGTATAGCAGGGTATGTGTGCATCTGTATTACTAATATGTATTACTAATTTTTTATGATAAATTAACTCCTACACTCATGGTTCATATTCATATATGAAATTAGTTTCTCCCATCATTGTCATGCCTCTAAAGTAACTATGTTCTTTCTTGCTAAATTTTGTGATGAGAGAAGTTCACGTAGGAGATCCATTTCATGGAGTACATAGTACTTTGTTTTTACTAATGTGACATGTTCCAGTACAAAGGAATGAAAAGAAAATCAAGCCTAATCTGATCCTTGCTGGAATCTGCCCTTCTCTTAAAGCCTCTCATTCTTCCCTACAGGCCGGGGCTTGAAGTCTCATGCCTACATTCACAGCGTCCAGTTTAGCCACCATGTCTTCCTTAACCTCCACACCCTCAAGTTTTACTGCCTTCCAGACAACTATGAGATCATTGATTCTTCACTGGAGGACATCACAGTGAGTGTACAGAGGCTTGTTTTGGAACTAGTTCTCTTGGAATCTGTCCCAGGGCTCCTGGGGATCTGCTGGATTCTGAGGAGAGGGTTCTTTCCCTTTGGGGAGAACCAGGGAAACCCAGTTAGAAGGTCAGGATTCATAATTAGGGCCTTTGCTCTTCTAATTGGGGTGAAAGCATTTTTGTGAAATGAATTATCCTTCTACACTTTGGAGTTGGGATGTGAATGAAATGGGCCTGGCACAGGACAGTGGATACCAAGCTGCGGACCAGCTCTTTGCTACTTTTGACAGGATGTGGCTGGAGTGGCAAAAGTGTTCCATCTGGAAGCTCTGGTTTGCGACCTGTGCCAAGAGTCACTGTACTTTAAGGGGAGCGTATAAAAAGGCCTTTTGGGTTTGGTTAATTTTGAAATTGTTGGTTATTATTTACCTTTTCAGCAAGTGTCAGCATATTGATTATGCTGAATGCTCTTTATTTTTAAGGAAAGCTTGATGTTTCATAGTGTTTGAAATACTATTTATGTTACTATCATAAGTTTTAGAGGCCTGTTAATAATTGAGGTTAAAGTAGTTATCAACTATACTTACAGAGGGAGAAACTGAAATAAATTCAAGGGTTTAAAGTGAGTTAGTAGAGGCCTCTGTTCAGCCTGTGACGTGATGACCCTCGTAGCTCTAGGATGGGGAATGTTCTGAATTTGCCCCTTTTACCACAGGGAGTCATGAGATTTCAGCCTGCACAGAGGTGATAGGCACTCCTGGTCCTGCTCTGGGTCCATCATACTGGCTCTGTGGGAGGTCCTAGCTGAGACTCAGACCCTTGCTTCTTGCAGAGACTTGAGTGTCATTCATTTTCTGACAGTCATTTGTCATGGAGTTGGCCGCAAAGACCTGGGATTCAGTGATTTTGGGTTATGCACAGAGATCCCCTTCTAGATTAATAATGTGGAGAGGGCCTATTTCATGTTACGTCATTCTTTATACCCATTGTTGGGAGCATTCCTGTTGTTGGGTGAGACATTTGTGACCAAAATGTTTTTTGTTTTTGGCAGAAATTGCTTTTCCATATATATCTTGTAAACTTTGTAGCTAGCCCTTAAACAACTTAAAATTTTCTTGCTTTGCAGTATGTGTTGAAGCCCACTTTCACAAAGCAACAGATCGCAAACTTGGACAAGCAAGCCAAATTGTCCCGGGCATATGATGGTACCACTTACCTGCCAGGTATTGTGGGCCTGAATAACATAAAGGCCAACGACTATGCCAATGCTGTTCTTCAGGTAGGATCTGGATGGGGGCAGTGAGGGGGGTCACCCAAGAACACTAGGAAGGTTGCCTGAGAAATGACTGCCTTCTGGTATGGTGCAGTCAGATGAGAACTATACTTGAGTATTTGTTCTACACAAGGCAGAACATTCTTATGTCTGCTCAAGGGGCTGCTGCTGAAGGGTGAGGATCTCTGTGGGAAAGAGGGATAGGATCGGTGTGTGGCCTGACAATACCAAATAAGAAACACATAATATAGGTGATGCTTTTTTTTTTAATGGTGCACCTATTCATTGTGCCGGCTATTTGATGTCTTGGTCTTGGCCCCATGCTTAAGCCCTGAAGTGGGAAAAGCAGGTAAAGTTGTCTTATTTGCAATTAAGTTTGTTTCTTAAAAAGTTATTAGTATTTGTGCATTGTGTAGAAAAATTGGAAAATGTTGGTAAGCATAAGAAAAATAATAATCCTGCTCACCAAAAAAAGTGATTAAAAAAGAATTATAAACACTTACTGTTGGGGGAGATGTAAAAAGTCTAAAGGGAAAACCTCATTCCTTTCTTTCCCTAGCTCCGCATCCTGGGTGCTTAACAGTATATATACATCTCCAGAATTTTTTCCGAACACATATATATATATATATGCATAATATTCTGTCATGTGGCAATATCATGAGTTATTTTGCTATTTCCCAATTGACAGATAAAATTTAATTTGTTTCACATTAATTTTTTCTGTTACCAGTGTTACTGGGAGTGTCCTACATATAGTCTTGTACTTTTTGTGTCATTGTTACATTTTATTGTATTTCTTTTTTTGAACTTTAAAAATACAATAATTTTTAATATTTTATATAAAGTAATATGGCATATATATGTATCTTTATGTATATCTTAAAAGTATATCATGAAATTCATAAATATTCTTGTGCAACATCCTTAATGATTGTATTTTAATCCATTTTGTTGATGAATTATAATTTATTTACCCATCTCCTCCTGTATTAGTGCATTGAGAGTCTAGATTCTAGGCTGTAGTGAATTTGTAGCAACTTACAAACCCACCAGCAACATAAAAGAGTGTCCTTCATCTTGCACTGTCATTGCTACAATTGAAAAAATATTTTTACATTTTGATTGGTATTTCCATTTTAATCTACCTTTTTTTATTTGCTTCTGAAGTTGATAACATATCTTTTCATGTATTGTTAGGCCTTATGTGCTCATTTTTTGATTGGTGGTTCATTTTACTGATCTTTATTGTACATAATACAGATATATATATATACACACACATATATATATATATAAATAAAAAATACTAGTCTTTTTCTTTTTTTAAAAAAATTTTATCAAATGTACATCACAGTGGTTCAACAGTCCCCTTCCCCCTTGGTAACCACTAGTCACTTCTCAGTGTCTGTGAGTCTAGTGCTGTTTTGTTCCTTCCGTTTTGCTTTGTTTTTATACTCCACAAATAAGTGAAATCATACGGTATTTGTCTTTCTCACCTGGCTTTTTTCACTGCGTATACTACCCTCTGGATCCATCTATGTTATTGCAAATGGCAGGATTTCTTTTCTTTTTATGGCTGAATAATATTTGATTGTGTTTATGTACCACATCTTCTTTATCCATTCGTCTATTGATGGACACTTAGGTTGCTTCCATATCTTGGCTATTGCAGACGGTGCAGTGATAAACATAGGGGTGCATATATCTTTGAATCAGGGATTTTGTTTACTTCAGGTAAATTCTTATGAGTGGAATTACTGGGTCAAATGGTATTTCTATATTTAGTTTTTTAAGGAACCTCCACACTGCTTTTTACAGCAGTTGCACCAATTTGCAAGTTCCACCAACAGTGTAGGAGGTTTCCTATTTTGCTGCAACCTCACCAGCATTGTTATTTCTTGTCTTTTGGATAGTGGCTATTCTAACTGGTATGAGGTGATACCTCATTGTGGTTTTAATTTGCATTTTCCTGATGATTAGTGATGGGAGCATCTTTTCTTGTGCCTGTTAGCCATTTGTATTTCTTCTTTGGAGAAATGTCTGTTCAGGACTTCCACCCATTTTTTGATGGGGTTATTTGTTTTTAGGGTGTTATGGTGCGTGGGTTCTTAATATATTTTGGATGTTAATCCCTTATCAGATGAGTCATTTACAAATCTATTCTCCCTTACTATAGGATGCCTTTTTGTTCTGCTGATGGTGTCCTTTGCTGTACAGAAGCTTTTTAGTTTGAGGTAGTCCCACTTGTTCATTTTTTATTTTGTTTCCCTTGCCCAAGGAGATGTGTTCAGGAAGAAGTTGCTCATGTTTTATATTCAAGAGATTTTTGCTTATTTTTTTTTTCTAAGAGTTTTATGGTTTCATGACTTACATTCTGGTCTTTGATCCATTTCGAGTTTACTTTCATATATGGAGTTAGACAATAATCCAGTTTTATTCTCTTACATGTTGCTGTCCAGTTTTGCCAACAGCAGTTGTTGAAGAGGCTGTCTTTTCCCCATTGTATATCCGTGGCTCCTTTATCATATATTACTTGACCACATATGTGTGGGTTTGTATCTGGGCTCTCTGTTCTGTTTCATTGATCTGTTCTGTTCTTATACCAGTACCAAATTGGTTTTTGATTACTATGGCTTTGTATTACAGCTGGAAGTCAGGGAGCATAATCCCCCCAGCTTTGTTCTTTCTCAGGATTACTTTGGTTGTTTGAGATTTTTTGTGGTTCTATATGAATTTTAGAACTGTTTGTTCTTCATTGAAGAATGCTGATGGTATTTTGGTAGGGATTGCATTGAATCTGTAGATTGCTTTAGGCAGGATGGCCATTTTGACAATATTAATTCTTCCTATCCATGAGCATGGGATAGATTTCCATTTTTTGGTGTTGTCTTGGATTTCTTGAATATCTTGTAGTTTTCAGAGTATAGGTCTTTTACCTCCTTGGTTAGGTATTTTGTTTTTTGATGCAATTGTAAATGGAGTTGTTTTACTGATTTCTCTTCCTGCTAGTTCATTGTTAGTGTATAGGAATGCAACAGATTTCTGTGTATTAATTTTGTATCCTGAAACTTTGCTGAATTCAGTTATTCTAGTAGTTTTTTGGTGTATTCTGTAGGGTTGTCTATGTATAATATCATGTCATCTGCAAATGGTGAGTTTAACTTCTTCCTTACCAATCTGGATGCCTTTTATCTCTTTGTGTTGTCTGAATGCCGTGGCTAGGACCTCCAGTACTATGTTGAATAAAAGTGGGGAGAGTGGGCATCCTTGTTTGGTTCCTGATCTTAGAGAAAAAGCTTTCACAGCTTTTCGCTATTAAGTATGATGTTGGCTGTGGGTTTGTCGTATGTGGCCTTTATTATGTTGAGATGCATACCCTCTGTACCCATTTTGTTGAGAGTTTTTAACATGAATGGATATTGAATTTTATTGAATGCTTTTTCAGCATCTATTGAGATGATAAGCAGTTTTTATTCTTTTTGTTAATGTGGTGTATGATATTGATGGGTTTACGAATACTGTATCATCCTTGCATCCCTGGAGTAAATCCCATGTGGTAATGATGGATGATCTTTTTCATGTATTTTTGGATTTGGTTTGCTAATATTTTGTTGGAGATTTTTGCATCTGTGCTCATCAGGGATATTGGTCTGTAATTTTTTTGTGTGTGGTGTCTTTGGTTTTGGTATTAGAGTAATGCTGGCCTCATAGAATGAGTTTGGAAGTATTCCCTCCTCTTCTGCTTTTTGGAATGCTTTAAGAAAGATAGGTACTAGCTCTTCTTTAAATCTTGGTAGAATTTGGCTGTGAAGCTGTCTGGACCTGGAGTTTTGTTTTGGGGGAGTTTTTTGATTACCAGTTTGACTTCATTGCTGGTAGTTGGTCTGTTCAGATTTTCTGTTTCTGCCTTGGTCTGTCTTGGAAGGTTGTATTTTTCTAGGAAGTTGTCCATTTCTTCTAAGTTTTCCAATTTTTTGGCGTATAATTTTTCATAGCATTCTCTAATAATTCTTTGTATTTCTGCAGTATCTGTTGTGATTATTTTGTCTTCATTTCTGATTCTGTTTAATGTGTGTACATTCTTTTTTTCTTGATAAGTCTAGCTAGTGGTTTATCTATTTTATTTTCTGAAAGAACCAGCTCCTGGTCTCACTGATTTTTTTCTGTTGTTTTATTCTTCTCTACTTATTTATTTCTGCTCTAATCTTTATTAGGTCCCTCTGCCTACTGACTTTAGGTTTCATTTGTTCTTCTTTTTCCAGTTTCTTTAATTTTGATTTTAAACTGTTTATTTGGGATTGTTCTTGTTTATTGAGGTAAGCCTATATTGCTATGTGCATCTTCTTAGAACTGCCTTTGCTGTGTCCCACAGATTTTGGGCTGTTGTGTTTTTGTTTTCCATGTATTGCTTGATTTCTGTTTTAATTTGTTCATTGATCTGTTGATTATTTAAAAGCATATTGTTTAGCCTCCATATATTTGTAAGTCTTTTTGTTTTTTTGTATGTAATTTATTTCTAGTTTCATACCACTATGGCCTGAGAAGGTGCTTGATACAATTTCAATCTTTTAAAATTTATTGAGGCTCTTCTCTGGGCCTAGTATGTGATCCATTCTGGAGAACATTCCATGTGCACTTGGGAAAAATGTGTATCCTGCTGCTTTTTCCTGGAGTTTTCTGTAGATATCTGTTAGGTCCACTTGATCTAATGGATTGTTCAGTGCCTCTGTTTCCTTATTTATTTTCTGTCTGATTCATCTGTCTATTGATGTGAGTGGCATGTTAGAGTCTTCTGAAATGAATGTGTTGCAATCTATTTCTTCTTTAATTTGGTTAGTATTTGTTTTACATATTTAGGTGCTCCTATGTTGGGTGCATAGATATTTATAATGGTTATGTCCTCTTGTTGGACTGATATGTTTTTTATTATGTAATGTCCTTCTTTGTCTCTTGTTAACTTTCTTTGTTTTGAAATCAATTTTGCCTTATAGAAGTACTGCGACTCCTGCATTTTTCTCCCTATTATTTGCATGGAGTATCTTTTTCCATCCCTCCACTTTTAGTCTGTGTATGTCTTTGGGTCTGAAATGAGTCTTTTGTAGGCAGTATATAGATGGGTCTCGTTTTTTTATCCATTCTGCTACTCTTTGTCTTTTGATTGGTGGGTTCAGTCCATTTACATTTAAGGTGATTATTGATAGATAGGTACTTATTGCCATTTTATTAATTGTTTCTGCTGTTTTTTAATATCTCCTCTCTGTTCCTTTCTTCTCTTTTATATTCTTTTGTTACTGATGGTTTTCTTTAGTGTTGTAATTGGATTTCTCTTTTTAAAAATTTATTTTTGTGTGTGTGTATTTATTTGTAGGCTTTGGTTTTGTGGTTATCAAAGGTTCAAGGATAGCTTCTTTACTATATAATAGTCTATCTTAAATTGCTGATTACTCTATTTCAAACACAATCTAAAGGTACTTTTTTTCCCTTCTTCCTCCCCCACAATTTTTGCATTAGATATTGTAATCTGCACTTTCTGTATATCCCTTAACTGATTTTGTGTATAGTTGATTTTGCTTCTTTTGTTTTAATTTTGTACTTGTTTGGTAATGAGTTGGTTTACCACCTTTACTGTGGGTTTATTTTCACTGGTGAAAGCTATTTAGCCATAGGGTCATTTCCATCTACAGCAATCTCTTTAACATATCATGTAGGACTGGCTTAGTGGTAGCAAATTCCTTCAACTTTTGTTTATCTGGAAATTGTTTAATCCCTCCTTCAAATTTAAATGATAAACTCTTGCTGGGTAGAGAATTCTTGGTTGGAGGACCTTCTGTTTCAGCGCATTAAATATATCATGCCACTCCCTTCTGGCCTGAAGAGTTTCTGTTGAGAAGTCTGCTTATAGCTTGATGGGATTCCCTTTATAAGTAATCTTTTCTCTCTCTCTGGCTGTGTTCAACACTCTGTCCTTGTCCTTGATCTTTGCCATTTTAATTATTGTATATTTTGGTGTTTTCTTGCTGGGGTTCCTTTTGTTAGGGGACCTCTGTGCTTCTATGACCTGAGTGTCTATTTCCTTCCCCAGATTGGGGAAGTTTTCAATAATTATTTCCTTAAAGAGACTTTCTATCCCTTTGTCTTTCTCTTCTCCTTCAGGTACCTCTATTATGCAAATACTGTTTCATTTGGATTGGTTATGTAGCTCTTATCATTATTTTGTTCCTAGAGATCCTTTTTCTCTCTGTTCCTCAGCTTCTTTGTTTTCCTGTTCTCTGATTTCTATTTCATTTACCATCTGCTCCACATGATCTAATTTATATTTAAATTCCTCCAGTGTATGTTTCATTTAAGATACTGTATTCTTCAGCTCTGAGTGGCTGTTTTTCAGGTTTTCTGTCTCTCTGTTGACGTCCTCCTTGAGATCTTGAATACGTTCCTGTAAATCCGTGAGCATGTTTATGACACTTATTTTGAAATCTTTATCAAGAAGATTGGTGATCTTTGTTTCATTTAGCCCTCTTTCCAGGTTCTGTCTTGTAGTATTGATTGGATCAAATTCCTCTGCCTGCTCATTTTGTCAGGGATTCTGTTTCTTCCTTTGTATTAGATGTCTGCTATGCTTTTTGGTCTAAAAAATAATAGCTTTATGAAGAAGGTGTGCTGTGGTGCCCAGAAGCTCAAGATTGTTTACTCTCTAGTGCCTGGTTCTGTTTATCGGGGCCCCCAGCTGTTGGTGTGCCATGGGTGGGGCACCTTTCTGTCTGGCTTCTGTAGTGGTCTAAGTCTGGGCGGGCAGTTTGCCTGAGCTGCTGCCTTTGTGATCAGCTCAGGAATCTGTTGAACTCATTATGGGTGGGTCATCCTCTGCCTCATCTGTAGCAATAGTGGGGCTGCAGAATTAACAGGGTGGGTGGACCAGTGTGCGGCTCTGCTCTGGCTGGACTCGCAGCACTGGGTTTGGATACCTGCAGGGAAGAAGGAGCTCTTGGGACTGGCTTCTGCAGGCACCTCCCCAGTTGGGCTAAAATGGAGCCAAGGAATCTGGGAGAGTCTCACTCAGCCTGCCAGGCAGCAAAGTTTGATGCTCCTGGGCCAGGTGGGTTGGTTCCTGGCAGTGTGTGCACAGGGAGGTTCCTTGAGGCTGTGTTGCTAGCAAGGGGATGGAGTGTCTGGAGCTTCCAGGAGTTCCTGATTGTTGTGCCGAGGAAGGGCTAGGGAGGTATCCTCCACCTGCCCTTCTCCTCAGGAGAACGTTCGGTCCAACCCTCACCCCTCTGGTACCCCTCCCACTGCTGGCAAGTCTTTCAAACTGCCGCTTCTGCTTTGGGTCTCAGGACTGGAGGAGCACGCCTGCCCTCCACTCTGTGGGGGAGTCTCAGCCTCCCAGAGGGTTCTGCCTTCCCTTGGTGTCCAGCTCTGATTATCACCGGAACTCAATGTAATGTGGGCTTGTGCTGCTTCCAGAGCAGATCTCCAGGGCCAGGTGTGCAGTGCTCCTGGGCTCCTACCCCCTCCCCTCTCCATTTCTCTTTCTTTAGGCTTGTGTTGGGGGAGGGCTTGGGTTCTGCTCAGTCTCGGTGTTGCTGTCTCACCCTTCTCTGTTGTGGTCCTCTCTCCTTCCTCAGGTGCAGGGGGTCTGTTCTGCAGTCTTCAGGTTGTTTTCAGGTCTTGTTACATTTGCTGTGTTGTCCTCTGTGTTTTTGGGAGGTGGTTTTCATCTTGCCTTTGTATTCTGCCATCTTTCATATTATCCTTTTTCTGTTGTATGTGTTGCAATTCTTCCTAGGTCTTATTTGACCTTTATACTTTGTTTATGGTATTTTTTCACAAATGGGTAAGAAATTATAAAAGTATATCTAAAAGTATATCTGAAAGTATAGTTTTGTGTCTCCCACTCATGTCATGCCACGTCCCTGGAAAGGTCAAATTCTCAGGTAGCCTCTGTGGCTTTGTGAAGACTGCTACGGGATGGACAGATGGGATTTGAACATTGTTGGGGCAGTTAGTCTTGACTTTGTGATGGGTTTTATTTCCCATAGGATGCCCTTTTATTAAGTAGATGAGCAAATCTTTTGTGATATTTTCACTAAAATTGGATTGAATGGACCAAGTACTCATCAGGAGGCTAAAGTTCTCTTCAAGGATACCTGCTGTTTGTATTATTGCTGAAGCCAGAGAGCAACCTCTTTCTTCAGTGTGAATAATTGAGAATTAGGGTAAACTTTGTCCACACTCTTCTCCTTTTGAAAGTAACTCTCTTTGTTTAGTAATTATTCTCTAAGCAGGATGGCCTTATTTCTGTAGCTGAGCTGCTTAGGCTTATAAGGGCTTTCCTCTTCACCTCTGTGGTAATGGTGCTCTCTATATCCTGAATTGCCTCCCCCAGAGGTGCCTGGTTGTATTGTATTTAGTAGAACCTTTCTGTCCTCTTTTAAGTGGAGTACCTTGCCAAAGAAATGCTCCAGTATGCACAGCACTGGTGTGGATTCATGAACCCATTAAGGAGACTGCACATTATTTAGGTCTGTTCTGTGGTCTCCTTCCTAGGTTTGTAGCTCACACTAACGAGCATGTATTCCTTCCTGAACTAACATGGCTCGTTTTTACTTGGATGTCTAAAGAGGTAAAATTTATTTTCGTTCACTTAAAACCTTTTGACTGTTTTCTATCATAACAGAGTACATTCATTTTTAATATGGTTGCATGGTTTTATTAATGCCACATTTGGGGAAAACACCAAATTTTATCAAGGTGATTTTCATATTAATGTACAATTGAGAGATGGGGAAACTGTTGTCTCTTTAAGTAGTTATCTCTGCCCCAGACCAATGAATGCTGAGGAAGGAGTGTTTGGATTTCTAGCCTTCAGTTCCTTATACATCCAAACATCATCACAGGCCTTATCAAACAAAGGATTTTTAAATAAGTTGGTCAGTGGATTTGAATGCCTCTTTTTTTATCTCCTTTGTCATATCCACATCAAAGTGTTTACAGAACTGGACTTTGTATGAAACTGAGTATGAAGGATGTTTCTGTAATGTGAACTCTGTAAAACTAGTGTTTGCTTCTGACTCCTTAAGGCCATCACAGGCATGGCTCTATTAGAAGAGCTTTCTTTGGGAGAGAGTGTGACTCCCACGGGTTCTGCAGAAAGGGACTTTGAATTAATTGGAGTGTTTGACTTCCAGGCTCTTTCTAATGTTCCTCCTCTCCGAAACTATTTCTTGGAAGAAGACAATTATAAGAACATCAAGCGTCCTCCAGGGGATATCATGTTCTTGTTGGTCCAGCGTTTTGGAGAGCTGATGAGAAAGCTCTGGAATCCTCGAAATTTCAAGGCACATGTTTCTCCCCATGAGATGCTTCAGGCTGTTGTCCTTTGCAGCAAGAAGACTTTTCAAATCACCAAGCAAGGTAAGGAACGAGTTATTCATGTTTTCTGACTTTAGGGCACCAAAACTTACTTGATGAACAAATTTACTTCCACTTGGCAGTGAGCCTTATGGTAGCCAGAGTGAGTGTCCAGTGGATTGTGTGGTAAAGTTCCTTTTTTTCTTTCATCCACCTGCCCTGCTCAGTCAGTCCCAGGAGATTGCAGCTGGATGGGAAGTCTGTCTTCCTTGGTAAACTGAACTATATGGCTCAGAGGAAAATCAGTGGCTGGGAAAGGCACCGACTGCTTTAAGCACCTGCCACCTTTGCTTCTCATTTTGTCATGTTGCAGACTAGGATATTCTGATGAACTGTTTTGACTGTTTTCATCCCTCTACCCAATTATTTATTGCCGTGTAAGTAAAGTGGACACTGTAGCTCTTAGTACCTGGATCTTATGCTGTATCATCTGGCATCCATGTCCATTTATTCACCATTCATACTGCTTCTGGTAGATTTTAGAGCTACAGGGATAAGAAAGATAATTTTTCTCTTTCAGGAGCTCCTCATTCTTGTGGAGAAAATACTTATATAAAAAGGTGATTAGATAACTATGATAGGAAATCAAGTGTGCTCTGGTAGGGAGAATGGATCAAGGATCCCCAATCGTACATGTGGTAGGTGGGACGGGGTCAGAGTTGGAGGAAAAGACACCTGAGTTTTAGGCAGACGGGGACACAGGTTGGGGGTGGGCATTCCAGCTAGACAGGACACTGTGAACAGAAGCATGGAGGTGCCTGGCACAGTAGAAGAGTGCAGGTAGCTTGACCCTTGGATTCCCGGGGACAGTGATTAGAGCTGAGCTGGCAGTTGGGAGGAAGGGATCAGATTGTTGGGTTTATATGCCAGTATAAGGAGCTTGGGAACAGTGGGGGAGTCAGTGAAGTCTCTTAAGCAAAGGTGTGACATCAGATTTGTTTTATAAACATTGTTCTGGCTGAGGAGTGACTTAGGGGGGAGTTCAATAATGGCTTTTGATGGGTAATCAAAATTGACTTTTGATGGATAATTGATTAGTGATGGAAATCAGATGTCCTAGTTGGATCAGAGAGCTGGAGTGAGAGGAAAGACTAAGAATTTGACCTTGAGGAATGCCAGCATTTAATGATCAGGTAGAGGAGGATGTCCAGGGAATGGGGTGGCATTGCCTGAGGGCAAGGAGGAAAACCAGGAATGTGGAGTCATGCCAACTGAGGTATGGTTTGGGTTATTATAACTGCCTCCAGCTTTGACATGTCCCACTCTTCCTTCTTTTCCAGGGGATGGAGTTGACTTTTTGTCCTGGTTTCTGAATGCTCTACACTCAGCTCTGGGGGGCACAAAGAAGAAAAAGAAGAGTAAGTCCTGTTATTTTGTAAAAAGGAACTTTTATTTGTTTGCTTTATTTTGAAAACATTTTGCAGTTTGCCATCCTTTTCTCCTTGACTGTCATTTCATGTTAGGATAGTATCTGTGTGCACATGGGCTAAATTTTGTTCTTTAGTAAGCTCCTCTGCATTTTTCTTCTTTAGGAAATGTTTATATCCAGGGGCATTTTTAGTAAGTGGAAATGTATATTCCTGTGCTCTGGAAATCCCCACCCAGTGTCAGACTGATGGCTTGTGCAGCATGTTGTCAACTTCTGGCACCCTGGCAAAGTGAGACTAGGTGTGGGAGAGGCTCAGTGGGTGGTTTGCATGGCTTATAAGTTGAATGGTAAAGCAGACTGGAAGCTGGTTCCTCACCCTGAGTCTATTCTTGGAGAAATGAGGCTGGCCTCCATACAGATGGTCAGATTTTGAGTACCTGTGCCCCTTAGCTTCCATGTTGGCTCAGTAGGAGTTAGACGTTTTTTACAAATGCCAAAAATAACTGGTAGCTTGAGAGACTGCTGAGCTAGGTGAATAATTTTGGAGACATAATGCAGTTTCCTTCTTTCTCTGTTCTGATGGTGTTGATGTTTCTTGATGTGGAATTGTCATGTGGTGCTCTTTCTGCTAGATGGTCCTACCCCATCCCACCAGGTGTCTTCAGCCTGTGTGTACCCTTGGAATTCTCTAACTCGTGTCCTGTCAGGATTCTAGAACACTGCTATGCTTTCTGCTCTGTTCTGTCCTGTAGTCTGTATTTTCTTTATATCCAACCAAGGGAGACAGGGTGGATGTTGTCTCCCCTTGCAGGCAGAATGTAGTTATGGGAAATTTTTGGATGTGTCTTCTTCTCCATGTGAATTTTTTGTGATTCACAAATCTACAAGCTCTGTAAGTCATTCATTCATTCCAAATGCACTCATTTTTCTCTTGTGGGCCAGACCTTGGGCTGGAGGGTCAAGGGCATCTTTGGAGAAGACACGCATAAATTATTTACACAGATAATTGTAAAGGTACTATGGTGTATATGTTAGAAAGTTACTTCTGTGTTTAGTGAGAGCTTTGGGTCTTATGCTGGAAGATGCTGGTTTATTTTAGAAATTTAAAAGGACAATATTTTGGAAATGCTTTCTAACCTAACAGAATTTGCATTTTGATTTCTGTTTGTACAGCTATTGTGACTGACGTTTTCCAGGGGTCCATGAGGATCTTCACTAAAAAGCTTCCTCATCCTGATCTGGTGAGTGGGTCGATCCTGGATCTTGGACTGATTTATATTGCCTGAAGGGATTTAGGTTGACAAAGCGATGCCTAGAGAACTGGTAAGGCCTCTGGCTCCAGGAAGAGGTTCTGCCAAACACCTGCCTCAGCACCCTCAGGTCCCTGTGGTAACCAGTGTGCCTGTTGGGGAGTCTGGTTGGATATAGTCTGCTGGTTTAAGTAGTATGGCCACTGGGTGGTGCTGGCATGTTTTTTCAGAAAGCTCAGATAACTTTCTAGATTGTCTAAAGGCTTATTAAAAAGTCTGGTATTTAACTAAAATCTCTCTGAAGATGGAAGCTCATTAGTTCTTGCATTAATCGAACCAGGTGGTGCTACTGCACATGAAACTGCCCATTCTCTTCGCCTCCCCTCTTCATTTACTTCAGTATAAAGTGAAGTAAATGTAAATGTAACAAAATAACCTTTCTTTCCATGTGTGGTGGTCTCCATGCTGTTCACACTCCTTCCCTCCTTTTTCTTCTCACTCATTTCTAGCCAGCAGAAGAAAAAGAGCAGCTGCTTCATAATGACGAGTACCAGGAGACAATGGTGGAGTCCACCTTTATGTACCTGACGCTGGACCTTCCTACCGCCCCCCTCTACAAAGATGAGAAGGAGCAGCTCATTATCCCCCAGGTGCCGCTCTTCAACATCCTGGCCAAGTTCAATGGCATCACTGAGAAGGTATCCATTTGCACACCCACCCTGCTGATACCCCTTTTCCACTTGATTTTTTTCATATTCTTTTTATACTTGAAAATTGCCACATGTGTGTGAGGCATTTATTATAAAGTGTGTTGTCTTTATTGAGCCTCTCAGGCTCCAAGCTCTCTAGCTGTTCACCCCCAACTCAAGCTGAATTATAGTGCCCTTTCTTGTGCTTTTCATACATCCCTTTCAACCTTCTGCTCCTGAGTAGTTTGGAGAAAGGAGGGGATATGCAGGACAAACTTACATAAGTAGGAAAAACTCCCATCTTAAAAAAAAAAATCAGTATTAAAGTGGAAAAGACAGAACTAAAATATAAATGGAGTTATATAATTTACTTACTGTAATATTATTACTCTCTGTTAAGTTAAAAAGTTTCTTGTTATCTGCTGAATTAACTGTTTATTGGTTTAATTTCCCTGTTCATCCTAGACAGATTTAATCCTTTTTGGTTCTTTACTAGGAGGATTTCTTTTCTTGATGCCTCATTCCGAACCCTTTTTTTTTCCCTCTGTTAAATAAGGTTCTTTTGTTTTCAGATATTAAATACCAATAAAAAACTAGTTAACATAAAAGAGGAACTTCATTGGAAGGCATCTCTTAGGATCTTAGGAAGACATTAATCTAATAGGACTTGGGAAGGATAGAACTAGAGAGATGGGGTTCTCAGAAATGGGGTCTGTTGACTGTCGCTTGCAAAGGCTGCTGATAACCTGAGCTCAGCTGCTCCAGTGCACAGCCTCTGCCACTTGCTGTAGGTTCCCAGGATGGAGTTGAAAAGGCCTGCGTGGATCAGGTGCCATTTTTGGTCAAGAACCTTGAGAAGGGGGAATTGTGAGCTAGGCAGGCACCCCAAGGAGTCTCTAAAGCATACTCTTCCCAACCCCCATTACTGTTTCCATCCAACATTCAAGTCAGTTGTCAGGTACTGTTAGCAAGCATAGTAAGCAAAACAAGCCCTGGATACCCATGAACAATTGCAGCTGCCCATGTCTCTCTCTCTCTGTTACACACACACAGACACATACAGGTAACAACGATACCTAAAATGTCTAACTGTTCTTAGACTCATTTCATTTTTGGCAGGTGAAAGAGAGCCTTTAGGGTTCGTGTAGCTCAATTTATTTTATTGGTTTTAAGTGACAGAGTTGGGAAATCTGAGTTTAGATTTTTTATCTGACTTTTTCCACTCTGCCACTTGGCCCTATTATCAGTGATAATATTAAGATTCCCATGGGCTCTCAGATTGGTTTGAGTTTATTCTTACTATAATATTAATTAAAGTAGTGTAAACATAAACATTGGTATGAGCTCCTTATACCTACAGCTTTTAAGCAAGTGTGAAATAACAAATGAAACCCATAAAATCTATTAACAGTGCTATTATAATGTGATGTTTAGCTAAAACCAAATTGCTCCTTGCTGTGTGAATGTGGTACTGATGTCCATGGTAAAGTTCCTTCCCCCATGTTTTCTTATATGCTCCTGAGAAACCTTTGTATGTTAGGCTGTGACATCATTTGGGTATTAAATCTGTCTATCCTTCATTAATCTGAGATAATTAAAAATAGTGCTTCTTGATGTCAACTTGTTTGTAGATATAAATGTGGGTAGTGAAATCTCTTGGCATTTACTTGATTTAAAATTTTTTTCTTTTTTCTTTTAATACAGTATTTTATTTCAACCATACAGAGATGAGTTAGTTGTTGCCAACAAAAAGATTTTTGTGCTTATACCCTTAGGTGATCAGAAATTTACCTGAAAGTAGGTATCACTGTGGTATGGGTACTGCAGATGGAAAGCTTTTATTCTCCAGTGTTTTCAGGTTACTTATGCAGCAGGGGAACTTGATTTTGAAAATAACAGCTTTATTGAGATGTTATTCACATACCATACAATTAACCCATTTAAAGTGGTTTTTACTGTATTCAGTGGTTTTTACTGTATTCACAGCTATGGGCAACCACCACCACAGTCAGTTGTAGAACATTTTCACCACCAGTGTTTTCATCACCCTCAGGTCCTCAAACCAACCTCATTGTCTACCCTGGCTCTAGGCAACAACTAATCTACTTTGTGCCTCTATAGATTTTTGCCTTTTCTGCACATTTCACATAAATGGAATCATAATATGGGGTTTCTTGTAATTTGCTTCTTTGACTTAGTGTAATGTTTTCAAGGTTCCTGCATGTTCTAGTCATGTACAGTACTTCATTCCTTATTGAGGCCAAATGATATCCTGTTGTATGAATTAACCATATTTTGTTTATCCATTCATCAGGTGATAGACATTTGGGATTGTTTCTACCTTTTGGCTATTATGAATAATGTTACTGTAAACCGTCTACAAGTTTTTGTGTGGACATGTTTTCTCTTGGGTGGATATTGAGGAGTGGAATTTCTGGGTGACTCTTTTGTTTAGCTATTTAAGAAACTTCCAGACTGTTTTCCTAAGTGGCTGTACCATTTTATGTCCCTACCAGCTGTGCATGAGAATTCTAGTTCCTCTACAACTTTATCCACATTTGTTATTGTTTATCTTTTGGATTATAGGCATTCTAGTAGGCTTCCTGAAAGTGGTGTCTCATTATGGTTTTCATTTGTATTTCCCTACTAATTAATGAAGTGAAGCCTCTTTTCATGTGCTTATTGGACATTTGTATATCATCTTTGGAGAAGTGTTTATTCAGATCCTTTGTGCATTTTTAAGTTGGATTATCTATTTTTTTAATTATTGAGTTGTAAGGATTATATATATAATTCAGATATCAGTCCCTTATCAGATAAATTGTTTTGCAAATATTTTTCCCCATTCTGTGGATTGCAGTTTCACCCTCTTGCTTAGTATCATTTCAAGCACAAAAGTTTTTAATTTTAATGAAATACTGTCTAGTTTTTTTTTTGAAGTATGTGCTTTTGTTGTCATATGTAAGACTTCATTGTCAAATCCCAGGTCATGAAGATGAAGAACCTATGTTTTCTTCTAAGTCTCTTGTAGTTTTAGCTCTTAATTTAGGTCTTTAGTCCATTTTAATTTTTGTATATGGTATGAGGCACAGAGTCTAACTTTATTCTTTTGCTTATGGCTATCTGTTGTCCCAGCACTATTTGTTGAAAAGACTTCTTTTTTTATTGAATGGTCTTGGCACCCTTGTTAAAAAATCATTTGACCATAAACACATGGGTTTATTTCTGGACTCTAAATTCTCTTCCATTGATGTATATGTCAAGACCACACTGCCATGATTATTGTTGTTTCTGTAGTTAGTTTTGGAATCAGGAAGTGTGAGTCCTCCTACTCTGTTCTTCTTTTTCAAGATTATTTTGGCTCTTTTAGGTCCCTTGCAATTCCTTGCAAATGTGAATTTGGGGATCAGCCTGTGGATTTCTCCAAAGAAGCCAGCTGGGATTTTGACAGGGTTTATGTTGAATCTGTAGATCAGTTTGGGGATTAGATTATTGCCATCTTAATAATATTGTCTTCTAATTCATGAACATGAGATGTTTTTCTATTTATCTATATCTTGTTTAATTTTTTCAATATTGCTTTATGTTTTCATAGTATGAGTTTTGATTCCTAAATATTTAATTCTCTTTGATGCTTTTATTAAAGGGATTTTTCTTAATTTTAGTTTTGGATTGTTAATTGCATGGGTGTAGAAATACTATTGATTTTTGTATGTTGATTTTATGTCCTGTAATCTTGCTGAACTCTTAAACTCAAGTTTTTTAGTGGATTTCTCAGGATTTTCCATGTAAAAGGTCGGGTCATCTGCAAATAGAGATAGTTTTGCCTCTTCCTTTCCAATCTAGGTGCTTTTTCTTTTTTTTGCCTAATTGCTGTGGCTGGAACCTCTAGTATAATGTTGAATAGAAGTGGCAAAAGCAGACATCCTTATGTTGTTCCTGGTCTTAAAGGCAAGCATCCAGTCTTTCACTGTTAAATATGATCTTTACTATGGCTTTTTCATAGGTGCCCTTTTTTCAGGTTGAGGAAGTTTCCTTTAAATAACAGTTTGTTGAGTATTTTTCTTAAGATAGGGTGTTGGGTCTTGTTAGGTGCCCTTTTGTGTCAAATGAGAAAATTGTGTGGTTTTCAGTTTTTGCTTTTTATTCTATCAATGTGGTAATATTACATGAATTGACTTTTGGATGTTAAACCACCTCTCTGTTCTTGGATAAATCCTGCTTGGTCATGGTGTATAATTCTTTTTATGTTGTTGGACTTAGTTTGCTAGTATTTTGTTGAGGATTTTGGCATCCATGTTCGTAGAAATGTTTGTAAGATAAATTCAAGCTGAAATAAGCGGGCAAAGGGAGTCAACAAAGGGCCAGGTAATTTATATGAATACCCCCGCGAGGTTCCGCGGCCTTGCTGTCACAGGCCAGGGAAGTCACATGAAAGTAGACAGGCAGCGAGTTTTTAAAGAAGGTAAGGGGAGGCAGAGCTTAGATTTACAGCGGCGCGAGGATTGGCTAGCCTAGAGTACATTTTTCAGGTTGGGAGGGGGCAGCAGCCGGGGACTTTGGCACGTCATCAGTGTCTGACATGCTCACCCCTCCCCCCAGTGCCTTCAACCTTACAATGTTATCTTTAGTTTTCTTACAATGTCTTTGGTTTTGGTATCAGGGTAATGCAGGCTTCATAAAATAAGCTGTGAAGTGTTCCCTTTTTTGTACTTTAGATAAGTTTTTGAAGAACCGCTATTAATTATTCTTTAAGTGTTTGGTAGAAATTACCAGTGAAGCCATCTGGGATTGGGTTTTTCTTTGTGGGTAGTTTTTTGATTAATTAAATCTGTTTGTTGTAGGTCTATTCAGGTAGTTTCTTCTTAAGTTTTGGTAGTTTGTGTCTTTCTAAGAATTTGTCCATTTCATCTAAGTTTTCTAATGTATTGGCATACAGTTGTTCATAGTATACTTTCTAATCATTTTTATCTTGGTGAAGTCAGGAGTAATGTCCCCTTTTTCATTTTTGATTCTGGTAATTTGAGTGTTTTCTCTTTTTTTTCTTGGTCAGTCTAGCTAAGGGCTGGTTTTTTCAAAGGAGCAAGCTTTTGGTTTCATGGATTTTTCTAAGATACTGTTTATTCTCTCTTTTGTTAATTTGCTGTGGTATTTTGTCTCCTTTCTTCTGCTTGCTGTGGGTTTAGTTTGCTCTCTGATGTCTCAGGTGGAAAGTTATTGGTTTGAGATTCTTCTTTTTCTATGTAGGCATTTATAGCTACAAATTCCCTTCTTAACTACTGCTTTAGCTGCATCCCATTGGTTTTTGTATGTTGTGTCTTCATTTTTATTCATCTCAAATTTTCTAATTTCCCTTTTGATTTCTTCTTTGAACTTTTGGTTATTCTGGAGTGTGGTGTTTAATTTCCATGTTTATGAGTTTCCCAAATTTTTTTCTGTTGGCTGATTTCAAATTCTGTTGTCATCAGAAAATATTCTCTGTATCCTTTTAAATTTATTGAGGTTTGTTTTAAGGGCTAGCATATAGTCTATCCTGGAGAACATTCCGTGGGCACTGGAAAAGACTGTGCCTTTTGCTGTTGGTGGTGGAGCGTTCTGTATATGTATCTGGTAGGTCTAGTTGGTTATAATGTTGTTCAAGTCTTTTTCTTTGTTGATTTTCTACCTAGTTCTGTCCACTGCTGAAAGTGGGGTACTAAAGTCTCCAGCTATAATGTTGAATTGTCTATTTTCCTCTCATTTTTGTCAGTTTTTGCTTCCTTTGTTTTAGACACATGCTGAAACTTACCTCCAGCAACAGATTGTTGGAGGTAGAAGAGAAATGCTGACATCCTGCTTCTTCTGGGAAGATAGCCCCTGGAAGTCCAGGGGAGAAGGAGCCCTGTGATCTTGACTGCACCAGTCTAGGGGGGAGTTTCCATCCTGAGTTAGGAGGGAGAGGTCTTTGTCCAAATATCACAGACTCACTTTTCTTACTGAGTTAGTAGATTTTCTTTTAGTAACATTTTAGAAAAAAGCATTAAAGAAAAATATTTCCTTTAGTAAATGTTTCTTCCATTTGTTCTGTGCCCTTAGACCATTTCTAGAGGATTGAAAGGTGGTGGTGGTGGTTTTTAAAAATAATTTTCACCAGTTTCATTGGTGAGCAGCTCTTTGGAGCTCCTCCTGCTGTAATGCTGGAAGTGAAATCCTTGCTTAGGATTTTATAAGGTCATCATCCAGGTAGTTTTGGAGTATGTGCCAATTTTTTTTTAAAATTTTAAATTAAACTATTTTCCTGGGAAACTTAGGGATCTCTGAAGGGTTCTATTGTTACCTTCAGAGCTTACCCAGCCCAGAGAAGTAGCTATGCTATCTTGAGGGTTTCCTTTCTGATTATGGTTAGTCTTTTACTCCTGTCTCTTAGCTTTTCCTATACTAAATTATGTTTGTGTTAAGGAAAGATAAATTTATGGTCATAAGCTTCTAAGCCTCTTGAGCTGGGGAGGATATCCTGGGTCTTCCTACCATTATCTCCATGATACATGCCGAGTGGCTCCTCAGTAAGTGTTGCCTGACAGATTGCACTTGACCCCTGAATCTTGGGACTTCTGAGGAGGAAGGAATGTGGGACATCAGTTGGCATCTCTGCTGGAATACCCTTGGTAAGGGCTCCTCACTGTTTCAAAGGTGTGTGCATCTAATGGGCAGAGAGGGTTTCCTTCTTTTGAACTGAGACTTTTATGGTCTTAATTCTGCAGCTTTTAATAAATCCCTTTGTTTACTTGACATTTTTGTTTTCCTTGTGGAAGTGGATGCCCACATAACAGTGGTTAGGGTTCAACTGTATGATCATGTGTACTGGCTGAAATAGCCCACACAGTCAGTCTTTGTCATATTGCTACTCCTAAGCCTTGTACATGGTTTCTGGGATCAGGTGTCTTCGAAATTCTAAGTGTAAGGCAAAATTCTGTTAAAACTAAACGAAACCAAAACAAAACTCATGCCCTTGCTCCAATACTCTAGCACTAATTTGAAAATTTTTTCTTCTCCCTTTAGGAATATAAGACTTACAAGGAGAACTTTCTGAAGCGCTTCCAGCTCACCAAGCTGCCTCCATATCTAATCTTTTGTATTAAGAGATTCACTAAGAACAATTTCTTTGTGGAGAAGAATCCAACTATTGTCAACTTCCCTATAACGTGAGTATTACCTTGCTTTACTTCCTCTTAGGGGATGTGAGCTTGAATTTCTTTTCACATTTTATACCATATTATTTTTGGAGATCACATCTACCTACATTACATAAGTTAAGGGTTTTTATTGGAAGGTTACAAATATTTCAGGGACCTCAAAGATAGACATTTACCTGGAGGCAATCGCCTGTTTACCCTCTCCTATTGTCTGCTGGGAATTGCAGTCTTTTAGTATAGGGAAAACAGTTGATAAAGTAAAGGTAGGACAGGTAGGATTCTGCCTTTGAAGTTAATCCTGAGCAGCTAGCATCTGTCCATGTGTCTGCTGGCATCGCTTCTTCTTGAGTACTACAGTTAGACATGGCAATGGGGATGACTCCAAACCGGTCTTGCCATTTTGGGGTCCTTATGTCTTATTTTTTCCTCAGTGGGTGAAGTCTGGAATGTGTTCAATTTCTCCCTGTTGATGGAAATTATAAATTTTGATGTAGGTCTTATTTTTAATTTACCATGCAGTTATTTTTTTATGAAGTTATAAATGTTTTAATGGGAAGTTGGGAAAGGTTGTACCAGATTAAATTTGCTACCTTTTTACTCAGAAAATTCTTAAAAAGACCCTTTTGGGAGTAGACAGTTGGTTTTCAGTTCTCAAGAGACATGTTTTTTTTTTTCACACCCAAAGAAGGTATCTCTGAGATCGCGGAGAAACCTGGTGGGAGGGCTGGCAGGAGGAAATGAGGGTCTCCGTGTGCTGGCATTTAGCTAAGGTGAGAGTTAGGCCCTAAGACAGATTCCTACTGAGGAGGATTTAGATGGATATGTGATAGGATTAACATGATGTTTTGCTCAGTAGTGTTCTGTTTTGTTTTTGACTTTCATAAAGTAGTTTGGGAGCTGTAGGACAAATGCTCATCTCCTTCTCTTTTCTTTGTCTATCCCTTTCCATTTCCCATTTGCCCAGACTATATCAGGACTGACAGTTTTCTCCTTTGAAAATCATTCCAATTCTTAATTCTGTGTAGGATAGTATCTAATATTAAAGAGGCCTGAGTTCTGCATCATCCTGGCCGTGTAACCTTGGATAGATCATCTGCATATTTTCTGGGTGTAGTCTCTCATGAATAAAACGAGAGGCTTGGACTTGGATGCACGTGGGTATAACATTTTATTATTTTTGGTTCCATGATCACTGGGAATCTGAGAACAGTTAGGGGGTGAGGAGAGAGAACCTTTGTAGTTAAGACTACAGGGGAGTTTTTTTCTTTTCCTGTACTTTTGTTCCTGTTCTTCACAAGCTCAGCTCTGCTGCCTTGAGTGGGACTTTGTTTAAAAGTCTGTGTATCAGTTTTATTCCAGAACTGGACTCTTAGGAATTGCCATAGGTACCGGTCTGTTCCTGGCGAGAAGGAGTGCTCCTGGCTCTAGGGCAGCTGTAGAGGAAGGAGGACTGTGTATTGAGAATAGTTTCTGCCTGTCACCACGGAAATTTCTTTACCCCGTTTGTTGGGTCTGGAGTATGTTTATTTTGCCACCAGTTACATCTGGATTTTTGGTGACTGTGACTTGAGTAGTTTGTCCTTCAGAAAGCTTACTTTGGAGAAGTTGAGAAAAAGGATACTTCTTAGCTACTTGTCCTTTAGAGAACACCAAATTGTGTGACTAAATTCCAGAAATATGCACTTTAATTACTTTATGCACAGTAATTACTTTTAAAGTAATGCAATTCTAGATTAGCCAAGTCCCCACTTCTTGAAAAAGACCCTTTTCATACCTAATTTTTCTCCTAATTTTTCTTCATAATACATCTTCGTTATACCGGAGGCTTATCAGACTTGCAGTGATTAGATGCCGTCTGCTCATTTGGAGATGGGTTTATGGAGGTTTAAAGTCTAAAAGTTTAAAGTCTCATTTCGAGCTAATCAGGTGCTCTCTGAATTGGACTGCTCTGATGGGGGATAAGGGGTTTGCTCCTTTGGTTATTTTCTGAAACAAAATGCTTTCACATGTGTTCATTTCTTTTTGTCACTCAGTTTTGGTTCAGTCATGAAAATTTGAGTACTTTTCCTGAAGATTTCTGTAGGACTCCTTCCAATAAGTCTGGAAGGCTGAGGAGAAGATAGCAGGATAAGTCACCTTTTAGCAGCCAGGATGCATTTTGGCTATCCTAGAGCTCACATGGATTTTTTTAGGACTCATTACCTAACAATGAATATTCATTGCAGTCTATATGGGACACTGTCAGTCTGTAGAAATAAATAGCTCTCACTAACACATATAAAACTATACAGTATATTTAGAACAAAGTTGCATGTTTATTACTTCATGGTTTACATTGAAACCTTTTTGTATTTTTGGGCAGGTGATGTTTTCACAGTCTAAAATTCAAAGAGAGATAAATATCTAAAAGTGACACTGGACCGTGACCACTGCTTGCATTTCTTATAAACCCTTCCAGAGATGATGTTACTGTTTCATGGTATAAGTGGAGCACATCAGATAGTTCTGCAAAGATTAGAAATATGATACAGTCTTTCTTACTCTACCTTGTAGTATTTACATTTTTATAAATATTCATAGGCTACAAAATATGTATTTTTCCTAAAATTATGTAGTTAATATATTCATATTCTCTAAATATTCATATTAACTATCAATCTATTTCCCTATTTAACTATTGGAAAGTTCTTAATAATTGTCTTTGTTCAATCTTCATAGCGAGCATTTATTATATAGCACTTTACTTTGCAATAACTGCTCTACATTTATCCTTTAGATGGATAGAATTCAAATAAAAGAATGAGATTTTATTCCAGGTATGAGAATGATTCTCTGTATTTGAATGTGAGTGTTCAGTTAGTAAATAAATTTGATGTTTCCAAGTCCCAGTTGAAGGAACCTAGTCAGTAGTTTCTTATGGCAACTAGAACTGAGAAATTTGGAAGCTGTGGGGTAGCCAGGTGGATCACATAAAGAAGGGAAAGCTGGTCAGCAAAAGGAAAGAAGAGGGCAGGTTGGATCTACTTCTTCAGTGCCTGGCTCCAGCTGCATTCCTAGTCTGAAAGCCTTTAAGCAGGGTAACCTGCTTAAACTCACACACAGCTCTGAAGTGGCAGAGCCATGGTTCCAGTCTGAATGACTCCAGACCCTTTGACTGCTAGACATTTGACTATATTGCACGCTTGACTGCTAGATATGCTTTTAAAATGTGCTTTTCCCATAGAGCCAGTCTTTCTAGTCTGACTCATTTTTATGGTAAATGAGGTGAATTTCCACCAGCCTGGACTTCCATAGCCCTGCAAGCCTACCTAGATCCAGTATCCTAAAGTAACGTTCAACCACTTTGTTTTCCAGTGATACAGGACAGTTTCCCTAACCTCAGAGCCTTTGTCTCATCTTCTGACTTTGTTTTCATTAACACCAGAAATGTGGATCTGAGAGAGTATTTGTCTGAGGAAGTACAAGCCGTACACAAGGACACTACCTACGACCTCATCGCCAACATTGTACATGATGGCAAGCCCTCCGAGGGCTCCTACCGGATCCACGTGCTTCATCATGTGAGTGGCACTGACTTCTCATGGCAAAGAGGGGCAAAAACGAGTTTATTTGGCATTTCAGAGGGCAGCTCTCTGCATTTTGCCCCTTCTTTGCCTTGACTTTTGGGATCCTGCAAATAACAGGACTGTCAGTAGTTAGTGTAAGGTATCGGTTCTCAGTTTTGGCCTCACACTGGACTCACCTGGGGAGATTTAAAAATCCCAATGCTGGAGCCACTCCACGCGAACTACATTTGAACTATGTCATTTGTGCTTGTTGGTTTTCAGCTGGGGTAGAGGCCAGGAATGCTGCTAAATGTCCTATAGTATGCAGGCAGCCCCTGCAGCAAAGAATTACCTGGCTCAAGTGCCAGTCAGATTTGAGAGATTGCAGTAGATTTTCTGGAGGTGGGGCCAGGCATTATGAAGCCATGAAGTTATCCAGGAAATTGTAGTGTGCAGCCAAAGCTGAGAACCACTGTCCTAGACTAGAGCTTTAGCACCTCCAGTGCAATCCCAGGAGCCACAGCATCAATGTCACATGAGAACTGGTTAGAAATGCAGAATCTCAGGCCCCACCCAAACCTCTGAATCAGAATCTGCAATTTAATAAGACACTGTGATTGGTATGAAATTAAAGTTGATGAAGCAGTGGTCAAAGAGGTTCCCTTCCAGCTAAAAGATTTTGTGGATTAGTTTCAAGCTGAAAATGGATGAAACTTATGCTTAAGATGTATTTGGTATCATACAGATTATTAGCCCAGATTGTTTTAATTTGATGAGTTTTTTTGGACTGTGGGTTTAATTATGACTAGCATCTATTTATCACGTGCTTTACTGTGTGCTACAAAGAATGCCTTGTGCATAATATATGTTTGTCTCACTTTTATCCTTAACACACACCTTCAAGACCGGTGTTAATACCATCTTTTTACAAATCAGGAAACCTAGGCTCAGAGTTAGAGTAATTTATCTGAAGTCAGTAGAACTGAGACTTGAACTCAGAGTTGGTTTCACCATGTTCTTAACCAGTCCTGGAACAAGGAACAGGGACTTGATTATGTGATCCTGAGCTTTTGTTAGGTGTCCTATGTTCTGAAGTACTGGGCCATCTGGAATGTCTATATTCTGTAGTACCTGTTCAGCGTTCCTTAGGAGTTTGGGTGTAGAAGGCCGGTGGGCCTCCAGAGGAGGCCTGCCATCACCTGGAAACCTCTTTTCCCCCTTGTTTATGGAAGCATGAAGTGAGGTAGAGTTTGCAGGGTTTGTAGACTGAAGGATATGGGTTAGTACTGTGGAAAGTCTGACTGACTTGCTGTACTCTCTGGGCTGGGGGTGGGAAGGTTCACTTTAAGGTTTTTCTCAAAAGTGTACACCTCACTTCTTAAGTAAGTGTGTCTAGTCTGACATTTGAGCAGGAAGGAGACATCTTAAATGAGAAATGGAGGGCTTCCTCTTTTTTCCCTTTGTTGTCCACTTAAATTCTTCTTGAAAGGTGTACCATGTTTGAGACTCCATTGTACTTCAAGGAATCCTTGGCAGGAATTGAGTTTGCCAAGATCAGCATCCCCAAAGCTCTTTAAATTGAATGACACCCAGCAGAGCTCATGTACCCTCTTCTTATCTTATGACTCTGGCTGGATGATGGTCTTGTGGCTATTCTGATTTTTCTAACTTTGGGCTGCGGTCCCTTCCTTCTTCACCCTTTTGGCTTTAGGAAACAGACTAACCCAGCCCTTCATACTTTTCACAGGGGACAGGCAAATGGTATGAATTGCAAGACCTCCAGGTGACTGACATCCTTCCCCAGATGATCACGTTGTCAGAGGCTTACATTCAGGTGGGCTGGTCAGCACGGGGTAGATGGGGTGAGGGGCCCGTTAGAGGAATGGGGTTGTGTGAAGGCACAGAGTGGGATTGAGTTGAAGTCTTAGGCTGTGTGCCTATTGCTACGTACTGAGGGGTGAGGTGGGGCCAGACTCTATGGCCTGGACATCCAGGAGTGACTTTCAGACAAGAAGGGAAGAGCAGGGAGGCATGGAAGATTCTGAGTGAACAAGGAGGGTATGTTTTCGGCCAGGTTAGTTTTACTGAGGTGTGTGGTCTGACTTCAAGGAGAAAGAGCCTGGAATCATTAGGATGCCAGCTGGCCAGCACAGAAGCTTTCCCCAGTTCCCTGCGCAGCACTAGCACTCTTGGGGACCTGCACAGTGCCTCCTGCGTGTCTTCTTTGGAGCACAGCCGTGGAGCACCACCGCCCGTATTGTGACTGTCTTCTCCGTCAGATTGAGATCTAGCGGAGCAGAGTATCTCGTCTTCTCTGTCAGCCGCCCTAGGACCTGGCGAAGAAGGAACACGGAGACCAAGAAAAAGCTGTAGTTTTATAAAACAAGGAGGGGAGACTGTTCTCATTCTAGAGAAAACTCTTAGCAATTTTGTCTAAGATTGTAGGCTTGTCTGTGGGCCCTTTTTTAGAAAGGTAGTTTGAAATGGGAAGTATGAAAGAGGGAGATGGGTAGAAAAGTGAAAATTGAATGAGAAGGAATTTTCTGGAAGATTATAAACAAATGTCTGGGGACTTCACAAATAATGCAAGTGGAGTGACAGGTTGTTCAGTGCCTAGGGTAGACTAGGTACTTGATAAATATTTGTGGATTGAATGCCCGCTCCTGAATTACCTACTGTATTTCTTACAGATTTGGAAGAGGCGAGACAATGATGAAACCAACCAGCAGGGGGCTTGAATGAGGAGTGTTTGGCTTTGCTCCTGGGGGCCGTGAATGAGAATACTGAAGCTGTAACCGAGCACAGGGCAACTGGCACATTCCTAGGCCAGCCCAGTTTTTATGGGTTCTGGTTCACACCAGAGCATCAGAGGGGCCCTTCTAGCCACCTTCTGGCTTTGGCAGGCCAGAACACTTTTACAGATGTATGTAATTTATTTCTGAGTAGCTGGGAGTATCTGAAGGACAAGATAATTTCCAAGCATCAAAGCCTCAGGATTCTAGGAATAAACACGTGAAGCCAGTAACATCCCCCTCCCATTGTGGGTAGATAGTTTTCCTGTGGGTCTCTTCATTTCCTGATGTGTTTTTGGAATGGATTAAATATTTTCCTGTTTTTAAACCAGCCTCTTGTTTTATATGCTCCCCTTAGGCCACTGCCTAATCCTCACAAGCTGTCTACCCTCCAGTCTCATCATCTGGTAGGCATCATGCGTGTTCCCTGTCAGCCCGTGGGTGGTGTGTCAGTTCAGATGCGTTTGTCTCTAAGTAACAACATATCTGACTCAAAAGTAATATATTGGGCTTAACTAGAAGTCTGGAGGTGGGTAGGTTCTGCCTGCGGTGCAGGGCCATGTGAGGGAAGAGGGGAGGGGGAGGAGAGTAGGAAGAGCATTTGGCTGCCATGCAATTCTGAGTCTCAGCCAGGCCATTGGAGAGCTCAGAGCAAAGATCGCTTGTCAGAAGAATGGAGCAGAAATGGCTTTTGTCAAGCTTGGTTATAGGTTAGGAGCAGCCTGGAGGACGGGTGGCCTTGGCCTAAGCACTGGTAGATCTGAAGATGTGGGAGATCCAGGAGTTGGTGGCTGTCAGTAAACCCAGAAAGTTCTCTTAAGGGGGGTGGTCAGGGCCACTCTTTACTTCTGGGACATGATCCTGTCCTATTGACAGTCTCAGTATTTCCTTTGCAGGCTTGTCTTCATCTAGCCATTAAAAGTCGGGATTCCTCAAAACTCAATCATGGGCCCTCTCTTCTCACTGTTTGCTTTTCCCCTAGGCCGTTTCAGCTAAGCCTGTGGCTTCACCTACCACTTTAAGGGAAAGGACTTTAATTTTAATCCCAGACTTCTCTAAATCCTTGAATTTTAGAGCCAACTGCCTACTTGATATTTTTGGGTGTCTTAAAGTCAACCTAAGCTCAACATTGTTCAGAACTAAGCTTTTGAGTTTTCTCCTCAAACATGGCCCCTTTCCAATGGTTTCCATGTAGATGAAGCATTCTGCCATTAATCCAGGTACATAAACTGGGAGTTCACCAGGGGTTGTCTTTCCCCCACTTGGCTTGCCTAGCCTATTACCAAGTCCTGCTGATATTACTTATAAGTGTCTAGCATCTCCCCACTGCTTTTCACTCCTTGCCTCTGTCTAGTCTAAGCAATGCCAGCCTAATCCAGGTCCAGTTAGAGAGAAACCGAATAATAATCTGATCAGGGGAAGTTTAATTTTAATTACTGTAATGGGATTGGAGTGACTGGGATTGGCTAGTAAAATGCAGGAATGGCAGATAGGAGGAGCCATACTATACCCCTAAGGGCTCCCACAGTGACCCAGGCTGAGCCCGACCTTGTTGAAACTCTGCCCCCAGAACCTGGCAGAAATCTCTTCAGTGCGACAGGGAAAGCTGTTTATGGGGAGGGGAGTGCCTGATGCAGCTGCTGGGTGCTGGGGCTGCTGGCTCCTGTGTCCTGTGGGAGCCTGAGGCAGGAAAAGCCACACTTGCTGCTTTCAAGGGGTCACCCTGACTCTGGAGCAGGCAAGCAAAACCCTCTCTGTCATGTGCCTCTAGCACCTCTCCTGACAAAGCTTCAGTGGCAGCAGGCAAAGAAAAATCTAAAGGGTCCAAATCCATTTCTCAGAGCAGATGGGGCGAATTTAGAGCTAAGAGATGTTCTTATGCTGCACCCTGAAAAGTGGAAGAACAAATCCTCTCTGCTCTTGGGCCTCCTACCCTAAGGTGTCTCCTTCCCAACCCTCTGGGGGTGTAGGATGCTGGGCATGTCCCAGAGACCCTCTGAGTCCCAGCTGCAGCCACTTCCTCCATTTCTTTGCCCACCAGCTAGTTAACTCCTGACCTTCTGTGGAGTGAAGCCTCCTCTTCCATTATCCAGGAGCTCATTCCCATGCTTGCTTTTGGAATAAATGCTTCCCCTCCCTCAGGCTTTGGGTCTTCTATCTTCCCAACCAAGCTTTTTAAAAAATTTAAAACACTCTTTTCAAGGACCTTGGTCTTGTCATTGAAATAATGGCTTTCAAGACCACAGTCTGTCTGCTACAGATCTATAAAAAGTCCACTTAAAAGCTCAAATCCAGAGGCCAAGGATTTGTGTATATCATCCCTACCTTAAGAGCAGGTGGTACAGAAAGCTTTCCCTGGTGCTTGAAGTGTGGAGGTGTGGGGGAAACGGATTGAAAAGGTCTGTAGCTCTGTCAAAAACATCCTGCTTTAACTCTCTCCTGGGATTGGTAGGATTGTGGGTGATTTCTATTCTCTTTTGGTCTGTGGTTTCTGAATTTTCTACAGTAAACATTATTTCTTTTATAATAGGAAACATGATGGAAGCTCTCTTATAAATAAAGGGATAGTTCCAGGCATATAGGTCTTTAATGCTAAAGGTTTATTTATTTGTTTTTTGAATATTTTGATTTTTTGGTACTCTAACAACCCTACCTCATTCCTGTAGGTGGGCTCTTTGGGAGAGGGAGGAAAGAGGGTGTGGGCTGGAAGGAGAGATGATGTGAACATCTACTCCATCAAGGAGGACGGAGGTAAGCACACAGTCTGGTTACCCCTAGGGTGAGGCTGCAGCTTCTGCAGCATCTTAAGGACAGTGTCTTCAGTGCATGGGAAAGGACTTCATTAGCAACGTCACAGTGGTGCAGTACAGAGCAACCATCCTTAGCAACCCCCTGGGCCTGGAGATAAGTCATAGCAGAGATTGAATCACCCTGGAATTTCAAACATAAGGTTGGAAGTTCACCTCACAAAAAGATAAAAGAAAACTCCTTTGCACCTCTTAAAGTGACAGCTCAAGAGCAGCAGAACACTTTGAATATGGGTTTGCCAAGGCACCTTGCCCCCATGCTTGGGCCCTGCCGTGTCCACCCTTAACCACATCAGGGATGTCCTGATGTTACGAAGAAAGTTCAAGGACTCCATATGTCTATTTTTTCATGGTACTTTATGTTCCCATTTTTTATTTAATATTTTGAATTTTATGAAAGCGTTAACAAGATAATTGTAAAAGCTAGTATCTCGTGTGCATGGAGATGGAAGTGAGGTGGGCCCAGTTTCTGCCCTGCTGTCCTCGAGCCAGGGAAGGACCGTGTGGTCAACCAGTTCCCCTTGGCCCAGCCCTGGGCAGCTGTGGAAGGTAGGCTTGTTCCAGCGGGGTGGGAAGGCTGGCCTCTGGCTGGAAGCCCCCTCTTGCAGACCTCCAGAAGATGCTGCCCTGGCCACGCCTCACACTCTTGAGAGGACAAGGGTGGCTCTAGTTTGGGCTGCGGTTAGAGATGGGACAGATAAGACACAGGACTGAGGCTTCAAGCTGTGGGCTTGTGGTCCACCAGCCTAAGGTCCTACCGAGGAAGGGAGGTGGGGAAGGAGCGTGGGAGAGAAGGCTTCTTCTTGTTCTGGGCAGGGGCCTTGTCATGTGGGAGAGCCCAAGAGCCCTGAGGACCACCTCACTGAGTCCCCACTTTGCTGCTGAGGAGAATGAGGGACAGAGAAGGGGCCATGCATCCTGGCTGGGGACCCTTGGCTAGTTGATAGGAGAGCTGGGAGCAGTGCACAGGCCTCCTGTGCCAACCCGCTGCTCTGCCTGTGTCAGCAGGAGGCAGGGCCCAGCTCTTCCTGGTGCTGGGAGCCTGGGAGTTGGGGAAAGGCCACCTCTCCAGTCTCTTGGGTGGCTCCCTAATCCCTGGGTTTCCCGGCTGTCGGCTGTCATGGGGTGTCAGGGGAGGATGACATTAAACGGATTTCTGTGGGGTGTGAGCTGGGGCAGGCACTTCCTGCCGTCTCCCACAGGGGCTCATGGTGCTCGAGGGTTTCAGCAGCAGTGTTGGGCTCTCCACTCAGAGGAGGTGGACCCTGGGCTGGGCCTCAGGAGGGCAGGGGGCTCACTGTTCTATTCACAGCTGTAGCCCTTGCCCCTAGAATGTGGCCTGGCCACAGGCCCCCGCTCCATTTAAAGAAAAATGAGTGAACAAATGAATAAATGACCATCATGTTAGGGGCTGGCCCTGAGCAGAGCTGTAAAGTGGGCCTTTTTCCTGTCCGGGCACTTCAAGCCCACTGCCGCTGTGTCCTTTCAGCGTCATTTCTCGCTCTGAGGCACCTGCTCACAGAGGCTGCATCTGAGCCACCCCTCCATCCCAGTCAGGAAGAGAGAACTGTCTCAGGCGGTCAGGAGGCAGGGGTCAGGGAGGAGGCAGATGGTGGCATTGCTGGCATCTGAGGGGACCACATCTTTGGGCAGCAAAGGCTGATTTCAGGAAAGGTTGGCTTGGTCTGGACACACCAAACCCGGACTGTCAGTGAGTCCAGAGGGTGATCTGTGAGGCAGAGCCTCAGGCAAGAGCTGAAGCAACCCTGATGCCTGGAATGGGCAGGGGAGCTGGGAGTTGGGCTGGCAGGAGAGGGAGTGAGTGGGTCCGAGGGAGCCAGCCTAGTGATGGTTCTCCCACAGGTGCTCAGGAGCCTTGAGTTGTGTCCTGTGAGATGGACGGAGCAGCCAGCAGCAGGGGCCTCCTCTGCCTGTGTGGGGGACAGCGGGCCGTCCTAATGTGTGCAGGACCACCCCCGCACCTCCCCCCAGCTGGGATCGTGGACTCACCGGAGTGGCTTTGAGTTCTCATCAGAAGTGCTGGTTGTGGACACACTGGAGAGGACTGAACATGGATGCACATGCCCCCAGGGCCTGCCACAAGGACAGCATTAGGGCCTGAGGCCCCCCACCCTGTTCCCCTTCCCAGCTCTTGGTGTGACCTTGCAGACACCTCGGGCTTCTGGATTTAAAGCCTGAGGAAGCAGGATGCTTGCTCCAGAACACCCATCTTGCACCCCACCACCAAGCATGTACTGCTCAGCAAACGACCCCCATCCCATAAGGTGTATCAAACCACAGTGTTAAAAAGGTGAGGGGGGCCACTGCACAAGTTCGGTGCTGCCCTGGACCAGAGGAGCAGGGCCTCTGAGGGTCATGGATAGGGGGGGGAGCTCTGGATGGAGCCGAGGAGAGTCCTAGGCCCAGCCGGGAGGGCGGGCTTACCTCGCAGGCGGTGTGGGCATCCCAGCCCCCGGACACTAGGGTCTGCAGCTGGGGCACGTGCTCTTCCACAAACTGC